GATTGCTTTTGTTTGGTTATAAAGGGAAATAAAATAAAAAATAAAGAAAACTAAATTAGGCACTCTTCCATATATATTTTTTTTTTTTAGAGACAACCATAATATATCGGTAGTAATATACTTTTTTCTTTTGGAAAATATATTGACATTAATAATAACTATATATATGTTGATCAAAATACGTTTTTAGCCTTTTGAATATTTTATTATTGTATGAACGGTTTGATTAAAGCTTATCAAACATTGTTGCTATTAGCGAGAGATAAAAAAAACCTAGCATGATAAGTTTTCGATTTGTATGGTAGAGCAATGTGAAATTCTATTTTGATAATACAACGTTTTAACCAGTTATATTAGTCAATGCGAACATAGTTCAGTCGTGTAATTGGTATATATTTTCAATTAAGAAGTTCTGAGTTCGATCCCCTACCCCCACATGTTGTACTAAAAAAAATAGTTCAGTACATCAAGTTTTTGTTATAATTCTTTCACAAATACTCTTGAGCAAAATTGAGAGGGCTAACCTTATGCAAAAGAAAGTAAAAGTCGAATATATCTTTAGTAAATATGGAGCCTAAACAATTTTATATTTGATATACCTAATATATATACTTGATTTGATACACCATTGATATGCTTGATCATGAGTGCTCATATACAAACGATAATCTAATATGAATGTCGATATACCAATGATATATATGATATATTACTCATCTTTATTATGTTTGGTTTCTCCGATTGAATTGTGTTATGTTATTTATAGATTTTATAGGAAGTTTATGTCATTTATAACCTAAATGTCTATTTCTATACTTGATATGAATTTTGATATACTATTGATATACTTGATTTGTTATATTACTGAAGAAATTAATCATGCTGATATATGTCTGATTATTATGAGTGTTGGTACACAGACGATATACTTGATATGAATGATGATATATCAATGATATACCTGATATATRTGCTTGATTTGATATATTTTAAAATATGGAAAGGTAATTAATATCAGAATAACTAAGAGACCGTTTGATAACGTGATTTTTGTTTTTGGTTTTTAGTTTTTCTGTTTTTAAAAAAACAAAAACCATATATGTTTGATAATTGCATTTTAAAAAAAATAGAAAACCCAACATGTTAAATAATTTTTTTTTTGTTTTTAAAAAGTTAAAAAGTTGAAGAGAGAAAAAGCTATGTAAAGTAAATATGACAATAGTGTAAGGCGGGAATCGGAATGTCCTTCCCCATTYTCGTGCTCGCATAAATTTTAATTTTAGTCCCTCTCTCCACCATGTTCTCTGATTTCTGGAATCAAGGCTAAAGTCGAGGAATCCTCATTTAGTCACCTCAGAGGCCTTTTGATAACCATCTCGTTTTTAAAAATGATTCTTGTTTTTGTACAATTTCGTCCGTAAGTTTTCACCTCTCTCGAAAACATATTTGAGTTATTAACCAACTTTAAAAGAAGAATAAAAAATAATTTGTTTTGGTCTTTAAAATTTGACCTAGGGTTTGGAAAATGTTTACGAGAAGTATATAACAAAACAAAAGAATACAAAAGGGAAAGCAATGTTTCTAAGCTTAATTTTTTAAAAATAGAAAACTAAAAATGAAATGGTTATCAAACGGTGTCTAAAAAATCGAAAAGTTAAATTTCAATTATTTCAGCATATTTGCATACCCAAAATATGTTTGTGGCTATTTGCAAATATGACAAATATTTCAGGTATTAATTATAAATTCCCTTTCACCAATAATAGGGTGAGATTTCTTGGAAATATTGATCAAATGAATATAAAACTGTAAAGAAACATAAGGTCCAAATTATTGAAACTAAAATGAATGTAGATATATGGACTAAAAGTGTAATCTAACCAAATCCAAAAATAAATGAGCATATATCCACCAAACTCATAATGGGATGAGGATCATTTAAATGGATATTATTAAAAACAAAGCCAACCAACTTTATTTATTTATTTATAATTTTTTGACAAAAACATGAAGGATTAGTTGAAGTTGAAGATAATTAAGGTGCACCAAAAGAAGTGTTGGTTGAATTGTCATTCAAATAAGTGGGAGTTTAGGAAGAAGAAGTGATCATTGTTTTCTTACAAAGGAAAACAGAAGGAAAAAAAAAAAAAAAAAAAAAACCTTTCACTCAATGATTCAGCCAACCCAACTAACTATTTTGGACATTTCTAAATTATTATTATCATATGGAATATATATCAAAGAAAAAGTCACCCCCCAAACCCCACCTTTCACTTTTGCTTTATCATTTTATTTTTTCCCTTTTACCTTTTTCATGCCTGATTCACGAAATGTGCTGCAATTCAAGATCTTAAATCTTGATGTCAATAAAATTTTACCCAATCAATTCAACCAAGACATACATATTAGTTGTAAAATTGAAACTTTTTTTATTCTAATTTGTCTTTATCGTTTTAGAACTCAATATTTTGTTACAAACATGGAAGTTGCTACGAGAAAAATTAAGGAAAAGTACTCTCGTTATATGAAAAATACTTCAGAGGACATCTTCTGCTGCTAAATAAGGACAACTACTATAAGTGAATTGGACAACTTGATTCTGACGGTACTATTTGTTTACATCTATAATATGAAAAAAATTCCATGTAAACTTTGACCGGACTAAAGGATTTTGTTCATGTACCTATATCTTTGAAAGTTGAAATACGAACCTATATTTTCTCGACTAAGCAGTTAGTTAATGTCAAATTTGTCAACCATTWTAGAAAATATCTACAATTACAAAGTTTCATAACAACACAATTRGGTGGAGAGGGCTAATTAGAGATTTTTCAACAATTCCAAAAGAAAAGAAAAATAACTTTTTGAATGGGACAACAGGAACGGCATTTGTTGTTGGAACTATGAAGCTGCAAATTGGATCAATTAGCCCAATCAACATCCTCAATCTAATAAGACAATTATGACCAAATAACTTAAATCTATATATTATTTTAATTTCAAAGGATTATTTTTTAATTTGGAATATTCTAATTCATTGAATTCTGCCTTCATCCTTACCAACAACCCAAAATATTTCATGCACTCCAAATATCTAAAATATTTTATTTTATTATTATTTTTGATTTAAATACTATTTTATATAGCTCATCCTAGTTTTAAACTTTCAAAATATTCATTTACTTTTAACTTTTGTTCATACTGTACTTTCAAAATACCTATTTTGATTCCTTTTTCTAAAAAATGACCATTTTACTTTCTATTTACAAATGATACCTAAATTATTGGTATCTGTAAACCACAATGGGCTCGTCTAGTGGCATTGAGGTACGTGAAAAAGTGAAGGGACATGGGAGAGTAAGTTCAAAGTGTATGGTTGGTGACCACCTACTTAAATCAGTAAAATCCCACATGATATCTAAATACTGTAGGGTCACAAAATTGTCAGTTAGATTAGTCGAGTTGCACGTAAGCTAGTCCGTAATATCTGCACAGTATAAATACCCCATTTATCAACCTTTTCTTTTTCAGCAGAAGATAAAGAAAAACTTTAGTATAGACATTGATATGATTGATAGGTGTGTGGCAAACACATAAAGGTAGCAGCAGCCTTTGTTCCTTGTTTACCAGAAAGCTGAACTCAGCAGATAATATGCAACTGCCATGTACAAAACTTTTCCTCTTCCAATCCAATGCTTAGAGTTAAACAACTACTAATTCTACATCACAGTAAATCAGTCTAAATTGAACAACATTGGACTCCTGAGGAAAGCCAGATCTTCATTTGTTCTACTCTGGAAACATTAGAGAATACATCTACAAAGCTTTGGCAGGCTTTTAACTTTCACAGTGAGGCTATACATTTCTAGATAGTTCTCACAATTTTTTCTTTTTCGATTTCGATGTCGTGTAGTTTATGCTAGTGGATCTCTATAACCAGAAATCGTTACTTGGACTGAGCAACACTATGACCCCTACAGAACTCGAATTTGAGACCTCAAGTGGTATCACAAGATCCCAAGCCTTTGYCACTGTACCATCCCAGAAGACAGTAGTTGTCCTCACATCCTTTGTTTTAGAATGGTGGAAAGTACTTCAGAACGTTAGGGATCATTTCAATTTTTTGTTTTTGTTTTCAGAACCGTTTTAAGAACAATTTTGAGTGGCTTGTCAGAGAAAGTATGATTCTGTACTTTAAAATCATTCWCCCCAATCTCATAATTTTAGAAGTATAATATGTCATCTATAAAACAAAAGAATATATATATATAGGAAAATAAGAGAAAATAGCTTTAAGAAAAAATAGTTATCACTAAACTCTAGTTCTAAAGAAAAGAAAATTATTTTTCAGAACACTCGCAAAAAGCCACCAAGCCTTGGTACATGACCTCAACATGCTTTAACATTAGTTGAAAAATGCCAACGAAACTGCAACCAAACAGACAGAACTAGTAGAGACTACAAAGATATAGTTGGAATTGATCAAAATCCGAATTAATTGGATCGTTCAATGGTACAGAGACTCAAAATTATTCTACTACCATGTAAGTACTTGAAGAACCAATGGAAATTAATTAGCAGATGTATCTGTTTCAACAGTAGGTTAATAAACAMTGGTCATCAAATTGTCCAATGCAAAATTTTCTACACTACTAAACACAGGACATAAATTATAAAATACTTGTTAAGTTCATTGTCTAGGTCCTCAGTGAACGAAGAGAATCTTACACAGGAAAGTCTAGAAAGGTAAATTGGAGTACCTTGGATACACCTGCGCTCCWCAAAGCAGAAATTTCATCTTCTCATTCATCTACTGCCTCTCGTTCCAATTCGCGATGTAGAAAGCCTAGTTCACAATGGCATTGATAGAAAATGGAGCTAATCCGGAAAAAGAAAATAGAACAAAGAAGAATAAARCGGAAATTTTTGAGCCACAGGCCACAGCATACATCTTCAAAAACACATTCAGCCACAATAAACGTTAGCAAGGGTCTAACACCTCAACAATTAAATGCCAATAAATCAGTGATATATAATTTATATATATTATTATTTCTTTACAGCTAAATGCATTGACCAATAACTGATCATAACCATACCATCTGCTTTTACTGCTAGAARTGAAGGAAAAGTACTTATAAATAAAGCAATAAAGAAGAAGGTCAAAGATACAACTTGGCAATACATGTTGATGGTCGTACATTATGTAGCTCCAATATATTCCACGAGCTTGAATGGTGATGATGCCACAGCCAAGTTGACTACGGATCACCGTCATAGAGTGCATCCAAGGTTGGTGATGATGAATGTATTACAATTTTCCTGTTAGAGTTCTGAAACTCAAACAATGAAACTTCAGCCTTTTGATCATCCCACTTATTTCCGCTCAAGTCCAATAGCTCTAGGTTCCCTACATAAATTAAGTCATAAATCCTTGAGTGTCTTATCACTCCACTAACAAAAAAARGAAATTAAATTTGTTGAATTCTAAGAAGCTATTACACGCAGCAGCCTACATCATATAAATAAAATCATTTATAGCAATAAACATTTAGCTCATATTGGAAAATCCCTTTTCTTAACATAAGGATGTTTGTGTCAGGATAATTTCTCCGGAATGCAACTGTTGAAACAGAATTCATGGAAACAAAAAGGGATCAATATGTTTTTTATGCACTTGACTGCCTAAAGAACTGTTTGGAGTAAAAAGCTCCAGCACAAATTATCACGTTCCTAACTCAAGGAGATTATGAGGATTAAAAAAAAAGGAAAAAGGAAAGAAGAAAACCTCCGGTTGTGCTATTCATGGACGTGAAGAATATAAAAAATATTTAGAGCACTTTACAAGAAATCCTTGACAGAAATAAACTTCCAAATATCCACAAATCCTGTGTCTATGGCTTGAAGATTCTCCTACTCTCAATTCCATAATTTAGCCAAACAAGCATTAGTTCAAATGATCTTGGCCTTGTCTTTAGAAGACAGTCTGTAGTTTAAATTCACGTGAATGGCTTTGGTTTTGCTTCTCTGTGGGCTAGTGCGTCTACTTTATTTAGGAGTTCTATGTGTGTGCGAGCTTTTGTGATTACTAACAATTGGGGCTCTTCAATGCTTTTTAATGAAAGTTGGTTCTCCATCTAAAGTAAAAAAAAAAAAAAAAAGAAAGAAAAAGAAAGGTAAGCGATGAGTAAACCCTTGAGCATTTTAAGGGAGCACCCAGAAGTTGAAGTAATCCAGAAGCTTATTCCAATTTTGATGGGAAAGGGGATGATAAAAGAATGTGGCAAGCAACCACTTATTTGATCTACATAAGAAACACCAGCCTAGAGAAAGAAAAGATCAGAGGACAATAAAAACTCTTTGCAAGGGGTAGACCTCCCTGTCCAGAATCTACATTAGAAATGAAGATGAGGGAAAAAAATTGAGGATGGAAATGAAAAATGCATTTCCAACCCCAAGCTCTACCCATAAATATTTTGAAATCTCAAACTAGAAACCTGACGATAAAAGATAAACAAAAACATGTCTGTTTCCTTGTCAAAAAAAAAAAGGAAAAAAAAAAGAGAGAAGAAAAAAACATGACGATCATAAATAAACACGAAAATTCAATGGAAAGGAGCTTTAAAATTTCACACAACGTGTACAATAAATACCTTTAGCGACTTTAAGGGCAGAATGTATGATGTCTAAGGATCCAGAGGGCATTAGATTGTATGATGCATTGACAGAAACAAGTTCTGGTGCCCCGGGAAGGAGCTTTAACAAAAAATTTGCTGTTTCTATCCCACCACGATTTTTGCTACAACAAGAAACATAGGCGATTATATCTTCGGGCCACCTAGAAAGAAGAATAGTGAAGAGGTTCAGAGTGTTAGTTATGAACCTTATATTGATGTTCATAATATTTGACCCTTCAGTTACGCCTTCAATTAATTCTTGAAACCCGTATGGACCCAAGCCAATGCCTTCAACATTCAGTATTTGAATTGATTTCCCCAAGAAAATTCCTAAAGCGGCTGCTACCGAGCTTCATAACAAAATTACACAGCAGTCAAATATTTTAGTGGAAAAATTAAAAACTGGTGACTTTTGGCTGTTGTCAGATATGCAAACCTTCCAAGACTATTATCTGCAACAGAAAGTGACCTCAGTGGTTTCCTTAAAGTTGACAACGCATTAAAGAGTTGTGTTACTCCATCACAGGAAAGCTCACAGTTCTTTAAATTCAGATCAGCAAAGGGGAAGCTTCTTTCAGAAGCTTCAACAAAAAACGGAATTAAGTTCCTGCAGATCCTTCCAAAGGTTGGTAATAGCTTGCTTATACTAGAGCTAATGTACAGAAAGAAAAAAAAAAGAAAAGAAAAGAAAAAGAAAACAGACCTGATTCCATCATCCTCAATGGGATTATCACTAATATCCAGGGCCTCCAAGTTTGGTATATGAGCCAAAGCATATCGTAGATTATCTGCATCATCTTTCCGCAGATCGTTTCCCCTAWAAAATATGAAAAGTGATTGATCTTTGCACAACCATCGCTTCTACTTGATTGCAAATTTTAAACCATGTATTAAAAATCGTGGTTATTTTAACTGCATCTATATTACTCATTGGCTGTATAGCATGCTCTTTTTTATGGAAAGTCAACTTTTATTCAATCAAAGAACACAATGGAGGTCCACACACAAAAAAAAGGCCAAAACAAATGTTCGAGGTAAAAAAAAACCCTTCTTCTTGACTTTCCTTCGAGTTTTTGCCTCTTCTATATTGTGGATTTTGGTGTTTGTTCATAGCATAGTGTGCATATAGCCAAAAGGTTCCATAGCTAATTCATCAAAATTTTCACATCACCCCAAGGTGATAAAGTATAGAAAACTCAGAAGACAGAGAGATTGCCCTCCATGAGTTCCTAACAGTGCCCTTTGAAGTTGAAACCACCTCCTTCCTCAACCCGTTCCCATAAGAAATCTCTCACAACCTTTCCCAACTTATCTCTAGTCAACTTGGGAACCTTGAAAAGAGATAAGCAATGCACAGGAATTCCACCTAGAAGACCTTGTATTATCTTTATAATATAGAAGAAATAAAAATTTTCTTTTCGAATCTCTTTCTAAATTAATTAAGTAAATTTTTATATAAATATTGAATAGTTTTGTTTTTTATTTATTAAATATTAAATAATTGTGTTAATATTTTCATATTTTAAAAATTATTTGATTTTTTTACCAATAATTGTTATAGATGATATTTACTTAGTATTTTATTAAGTACGCCTTACTTCACTAAACGGCGCCTTTCTATCGCCTCTCACCTTAAGGCAATTAGGAGACTTCAGTAAGTTGATTCAATGKCATATACTAATCGAGCTCCGTTTGATCTCCCAGAAGCGAAAGCTGAATCACAGTTGGACAGCTTGACCCGCATTGCCTGATGGAATGACCTTCGAGACTCTTCTAGGAATTCCTWMCCCTATCAATTTGAGGGGGGAAAGAAGTAAAAGAGTCTTTCGTTTCYGGGTTTATGGATTATTGGATTCAATCAGCTAAACTATATTATATTCCAGTTCAACAAACTATATTTGTGTTGGAATATATATAAAAACATTTATTAGTTGCATTTTTAATCTTTATGGTTTTTATTTCTTTCCTTGTTGTAGTAGGTCTCCTCTTTTTGTATTAGGTCTCCTATTCCTTTTTGTAGTATATTTACTATTCTTTTTTATAATAGGTCTCTCTCCTATATAAGAAGACTTAAAGTTGCACTAATTGAATACATGAGAATATTTTTACTCTTAAATTTAACACTCTGATACCTTAAATTGAGTACATGCAGTGATTGCAAGGACTTGCCAACCATAGAAAACGCCGGAATGCCAGTCAAACATCTCCTATTAAAACTGGAAAGCCATCCTGCCATCTGCAAAGTTCTTGAGAAGGTATTTCATTGATTGGCTTATTACAACCAAATTTCAAAAAGGAAAAATATGCATACTTACATTATTTTCAGACAGATCAAGGACAGATAGACCAGATGAAGCATCAAGAAGAGTGTGAAAGACRAGCTTTCCAAAATTTTTATCAAGGTCGTTCTCGCAAAGTTTGAAAGAATATAAATACCTGAAAAATAAATATAAATAATAATTGCAGCRAAGTATGSTGGAACAGAAAAAAAGAAACTAATAATCTTCCAAAATGACAAGAAATATAAGCAATTCAAAAATAAAAAAGAAGCTCGTGCAACCAACTCCTTTTACTTTCCTAACTGTTCAGGTCAAARATATAAGACAAAAGGGGATAACTAAGAGTGCCATAATGCTGAAGTCTTACCAGTGCTCTTATTGCTTTTATATTTAATACTCTCACACATTATATATACATATATCTCAATCTCATAAGTCAAAATGACACCAGATGAAATCTAAATTGGCKTGACTTAATTTGGATGGAATAAAAATAGTTGCATTCCAATTATAATTAGCAAGAAATATATAAGAATATAGAATAAAAACTCAATACAAGAAAGGAAATAAGAATAAGAAAGATCAYAACAATGGACAATCAATGAATACACCTAATTTAAATCTTTACAGCTAATATTTACTAATAATAAACCAACAGTGTGCGTACCTTCCTGATGACAAAAACGATACCAATCCRATAGGAAGTGAAACAGGGTCAGTTTCATCAAAGTATGATGCACTAATTGAGAAGTGTAGTATGCCATGTGTTTTCTTATTATGGAGCAGAGCATCACAAATTGAATTAATAGAAGTTGAAGATAACTTGCAATTAATAAGTTCGAGTGATGTTAAAGTTTCTCTGTTATGGTTTAGAAGTTTGCACAATCCATTGACCTGTGCAAGTATAAAAGCCAAGTCAGACCAATTTTTTTCTTTACAAGAAACACAAACTTTTCATTGATATTTGAAAAGTTACTGACTACCAGCTTTCTAAAGAGATCCAAACAAAAAGAACCTCAAAACCAGACTATGCACATCATAACCTTCAAAACTATCTAACTATGAGATTACACAACAATATAACCCCCAAATTTTTTTCTTGCCCTTTCACATTCATAATATTATAGAGTTTAACAATGTTGACCCAAAGAATTCTTGCTTTCCCTCTAGTGTTGACCGTCCCTCGTAATCTTCTCCAAGCTCTCACTCACAGAAACTAGAATTTTGTATAGGGACGAGAAGTGACTCAAAATACCCTGAGAACAGATTGAATAAGAATTAACCATACAAGAAGAAGAACTATCTATAACACCTCTTTTCACCTCRCTTTTATGAAAGCTACATACTTAAGTGTAGTTATCACTCTTATACTCAATTTATATGCAAAAGGCAATTATTTATTAATTCAAATATAAATAAGAATTGAGCTCACCTGCTCCTGGAATCTGATCAACCTAAATACCAAAGTCTGCAACTTGCAGTTCCTCAATATATGCTGCAACACAGTAGAAATAGGAGCTACGATATTGATAGGAGCAAGACGGSAAAACCAACAACCTTTTATAGTCAATTAATACACAAAAGAAAGTAAAAATAATTGTCACACATAAAAATTGATTCTTAGCCCCTCTTGTCTTACAGAACATGGCAAAAAATTTTATATTTAAAAATCAATGGACTTGAAGAGAAGTCTATCTTTTCTCCCCCTTTTATTCTTCGTAATGCTGTTACAGGTAACAGCACCAATACTTAATGGAATTTCAATGATTTTAACAATAAGTAAATGAGCTCTTTCACTCTCCTAAGTCGTAAGGAGCATTGCCAATTATGTTGAACAATACCATAGGATTTACAAACTTTCTTCCAAATCCAATCTTCTAGTTGTCATAATTACCTTTTTCTATTAATAAGAAACAAGTTTTCATTAAGGAGAATGAAAAAACAAGAGACCATACAAAAAAAGAAAACAAAAAAGGAACAGCTCACTCCAGCCAAAAGGTGCTACCAAAATAATTACTATTTATTATGAATGAAATCCTTTGTTTCCTTTCAAAAAAATAATAATAATAATAATAATTTCTATTTACAAATGTTATCGATATGCACAAGATCTCTCCAGAATACGAATGATGATACCGCTGCAATCTGAAAGAAAATGATTTAATTAAAAATATAAAATACATTAACTTACACAAATTTCAGCAATAGAGAGAACACTTTGAAGACTCAGACATCTGCACCAATAAAAGTACATAGCATAAGAAGATAAATCTCTGCTCAACACAAAATATAAATTGTAAAGACATACAAAGATAAGCTAAGAAACTTATAGGCATAAATAATGTTAAATCACGAAGGATRGTCTTAAAATATGTCGACTTAAATAGCATTAGCAGRAGGACCTCTATAATGCCTTTGTGGAAGCTGAGAAAACTTACTATTCAAACCGAAGAAGCARGACTATGTATATGCTTTATTAGTCAACAAGTATAGTGCCCACGTATTGTCTATGTCAGAGTTAATGAAATGCATCCAACATCCATCTTAAAAATGAAACCAAGTTTTTTTTTTTAACAAGAAAAAACTTGTTATTGATAAAAGAAAAATTACAAAAGTTCTCAAAAGATACAAACTCCTATSGAAGTGAGAAAAATAAATAAAACAGTAAAACTATCTAAAAACAAAAGCTTCCCATGAATAACAAATAGTGCTAAGAGAGTAATCCTTAAAAAGATGAGAAACCTAACAMCATTGAGATGCTTTGAACTTAGCTAATTCAAAACAGTCAAGTCAAACCTTCTCTTATCTTCAAAGATTCTTTGGTTTCTTTCAAACCAAATTTTTGAAAGTATAGCTTTGACTGCATTTGCCCATAAAAATCGAGCTTACCGTGCATAGCACCCAAATTGTTGGCAATGATAACTTAGTTTTCTATACTTTCCGCTTGAGAAATGAGTAGACCCTTCACCAGCAATATATTTCAACATAGAATCTGCAAAAGAAAAATGCACTGATCATGAAAACATGCACGAGTTCCCCCCACCAAATCAAAAAATGAGCTCAACATGAGCCCYAGAAGAATGCAGAAGGAGATTACAAAAAACTAAAGCAAGGTAGTTAAGCAAATCTCACTTCATTTAAATGGTGAAAGGTTCAGTCTTCTCTTCTTTCTTTTTAGCCTTTCCAGGCTTTAGGTTAGCTTTCCGTTGCTTCAAAGTTTAAGTTCATCTTATTTTCCCGTGAGTATGGATTGGTAGTTGCTGTGCTTTCGAGATCAATTTTCTCATGTTATTATTCATTCAACTAATGATGATGCTATTAAATGTGTTTTAAATGAAGAATTCTTGGATTTTAGTGATGATCTGGTAGTTAGTCTTACCAGCATCAGTTTTGATTTGGAGTGGATTATTGCTACTTCTTCCTTCTCCAAGGAAAAATTCCTCTACCAAGGAAGCTCCAAATGATTTTTTTAAATATTATTGAAAATCTTTCACATTTTTTCAACTTTAAATTAGATCTTCTATCTATTTTCTATGTTCATCGTGGTGTTCAGAATCTTTTTTGGGGGTGGAATGATGGTTTTCTTTTTTGGGGGTGGACATATGACATCTCTAAACCATCATATTAAACAAGAACACTTCCTAAATGTAAAGTGGATGAAACACTACCTAAAATGTCAAGTGGGGAAGGGACTTTCAATAAAGTTTACTAATAATCTAGATGCTAGAAGAATGTTCCACAGAATACCATACAATATTTAAACAAAGAAAACCGTCATTATCACCTGGCATCTCTATTTCTCCAATAGATTTCGAAAAAGATGGTAGGGAGGCTATTGCTGCTGCTTTATCTAGGCAACTGTTCTTTATTATTGACATGCAAGAAATTACAAATCATAAATATAAGATGAATCATGAGTCAATGGGAACAAACACACACCATCTTATCATAATCAGATAGGTATACCTTTGCAAGTGCTTCTCCCAATACATCTGCTGCCAGTCAACTGGCTGGATATGATCAGTTAACTGTGTCCAACGTAAATTGAAATTCTTCTTCCACGCTGTATCAAAATTGTRGTACCTATAAAGTTACACTTGCATAATTAAGACAGTGMTTTTATTTGACTACTCTTCCCTCCCCAATATTTAATCCGTCCTTAAAACTCAACCAAGAAAACAAAATGCTAAATTAGAATATGGTGAAATTAAATAACCTTCTGCGCTTCCTCCCACCCTCAAGGCAATCGTTATCATACTCATCTTCATTCTGGAGCTCAAATGGCCTGCTCAAGGAAGAGTTTTCAAATTCAATGCACAGTTAACACTATGAATCATTGGTAATATTCAGATTCTCATTGAATTTGTTCCAAATGTTTAGAATCACATATTCTCGTCAGACTAGAAGATAGTTGGCATGTACATGTTCGAAATTGAGTAACTCAACTTCCTAACAACAAATCTATGAGATAGGAAGCATTCAACCTTAACGGTTAAGCTGAAAGGTTAGGGTAAACCGTACATTTGTGACTGAAAATTCTGCAAGGCCAAGGGTGGGAGCTGCGAAGCGAGAGCATACAACAAGTCGGGAGGAAGATCATAGACGGGCGGTGGAACGTCATCCCCTGAAAGTCAAAAGAACAAGGCATTAAGAAAACAAGGCAGACACAGAGACGAATATGGAGATGATTACGAACTTCGAAGAAGCTGGTCTCTGAGTTGGGCTGTGCATAGAAAGAGCAGCGAAGGAACTTCTGCCATGAAAACTGAAAACTGSGAAGCGGCGGCGAAGACGGCGTTTTCACGGGATTCAGCCGCCCCCTCCACCAAAATTAAAATCAATTTTTAGGAATATTAAAAAATCCAAACTAATTCAGTTTTTATTTTTAATGAATGTACGCGACTGTGACTGTGAGGGAGAGAATATCGCACTTCCATTCCAAGAACATCATCAAATTGGGCCTCACTCAATTGATTGGGCCTTTATTCTCAATGATATTGACCAAATGTCGATGACGTGTCAACAACAAGGGGGAAAAAATTAAGTTTCCCCCTTTCCACATGTAAGCATGTATTAAATAGCTATCGACGTTTATATGAGTTTAACATCTAGAGTGGTAAAGTCAAAGTGAGCATAGCTAAGTGATAATTGGTACATATCTCTAACCAAAAGGTTGTAAGTTTGAGAATTCAAACCAACAAGATCCATAAAATGAGTGGAGCAAATTCAACTATACTCTCAAATCGGCTTTTATATATATATATATATATATATATATATTATTTTATCCTCACAAACTTTCTTTATACGATCATTTTATAATATTTGGCCTAATTCATCCTCAACGCCATATTAGTTCTTTGCATCTAGTTTTAGTATGGCAATTATACTTTAATCCATCCATTTTTTCGAAGAGTGCCATAATTGAACATCTAAATCATTTCATATGGTGAAAGTTATCGATGTATTRGACACGTTATAGGACAACAAAATAAGGTTTTTAAGCCATATTAGTTCTTTGAGCCTAATTTTAGCATAGCAGCTATATTAATCCATTGTTTTTTTAAGAAAAGTGTCATAATTAAACAACAATGAAATTTACCGATGTATTGGATGTGGCACTGGGTTCGTGGGACAATAAAGTAAGGTTTGTAAGTAATATTAGTTATTTGTGCCTAGTTTGAGCTCATCAACTAAATTTCAATCTATCATCTCTTTCGAAGAGTGTCGTAATTGAACAATAAAGTCGTGTCATATGATGGAATTCACCGATGTATGTATTGGACGCGACACTAGATCAGTACCCGTAGCCCGTAGGACAATGAGGTTTTTGGCATGATACCATGGGTGATTAGCTGTTAAGAGTAGAATATTGGATTGGAGTATTTAGTATATTTTGGGGGGAAGAGAGGGAGTGGGCATTTAAAGTTGGAATGGAGACATGGCATGTGAGAACACAGACAACCTCACCAAATTAATAAATGAGATGGGGTCTTCCTCTTCCTCTTCCTCTTCAACTTCTTTTTCTTATTGGTTTGCATATGGATTACCATTCCACACCACCACCACCCAAAAAAAAAAATATATATATATTCTCCACCTAACTTCTCCCAATTCCTAACTAATTACCCTTTTCGTCCACTCGTCAAAAGACTTCCCCACAATGATGTGATATTATCTATTTGAACCTAAAATCTCAATTCACTCGTATACTAAAACCATAGCATTCAAAACGAAATCAAACACAAGTTATAACTAATAAGGGCTACAATGTTTTTAACCGACTATGTCATTTCGATATGTTAATGGGACTAAAAGAACTAATATGGTTAAAAAATAGTTTTTGTCCCAATACTTTTATTGAAGTAACGAAARCTTTAATTTGTAAGACAATTTAATCTCTATAGTTCAATTTTGTAATGACCGATAACAGATGGGGGATCAACTGTTGATTTTTGTTATATAACTAATTAATTTCTTTTTCAATTTATAAACATATTTGGTTCATCATCGACCTACATATAATAAAAATCCTATTAAATCTAACATTTCCAAGATCTAAACTGTTACTAATTCAAGAGTGCAATGACCTAAATCGTTCATTACTGGAGAATAAATCACGAGTACAACAGCAAAAATATTTTTTAACCAACTAATATTTAATACCCGAATGGGACGAATAAAAAGTGGAGAAAGTGAGAGAGAAAATGATTCTATTGCTGGTAGATAACTTTATAGTCTTATTCCATAGAAAAATCCAAAGGAAATGTGCAGTTCAACTGAAAAATGTACAGTAGAGGATGGTAAACTAAAATGCACACAAAAATAAAAAAATGGCACAACATATTTGAGGCTGGCTGTATATGAAGAAAAAAAWATTATAATATAATAAGAATAAAAGAGAGAGAGTAGTCATGGGCAGGAACCTGTCAAATCGAGCAGTGTCTCCTCCACAAGTTCTTCCAGCAATTTGCCTTCTATTTCCTTTCCTAAATCATCCATTTCTTCTTGTRACTGAAGAATCCACCCCTTCCCCACAACCTCCTTCCCAACTACCCTCTCCACCACCAGGCTGTTACTGTCCCGGTCCCCGATCTCATAACCAACACACCGCGATTCACCCGACACCCAGTCCTTCAGTCGGTCCCACACGCTGTCCACCAGAGCTTGTGAGGGGGGACCATTGGCATTTACCCAGCTGCACGACATTGCCAGTGTGCTCCTGTCCGACCAATGATAGCCTGTGATATCAACCAGGACTGCATTGACGCTGTCGAATATGAGCTTCCAGTTCGATCTTGATTGCCTTCGTTTAGCCTCCTGCTCTGGTTCTTTATCACTTAGRTTGGCAAAGTTGTTTCTCAGCGATGGATCCAATGGATTTTCGAGAGAGTGCCATCTTGAGAAAAATGAGTCGCACTGCACGCTGTCGTCGAGGCCAGCTTCCGAGAGAAGAGTTCGGACAAGGCCAAGCCACTTGTGTTCCTCTTCCTCTGTATCTTCACATGCTAACGAGGGTTTAAACAAATATGGATCTGTGTCTTCTGAATATGAATCTTCCCATGTCAAGGTCCGAGAAATGGATCCTATGGGAGGTGATTTGTCAATTAAGTTGGACTTCGTAGGCAGTTGAATTCCTGGAAAAAATAGATAAGTCAAGAAATAGMATATGGACTACTCTATACTATGTACTAAAGAACTAGCTCCAACAACAATATTTGTCCCTGAACTATCGTTTTCTTTGTAATGTGAAAAATTTCCACCATCAATCAAATTACACCAACTCTGTACTGCTCAGCCGCATCAAAGGATAAGTTACATATATCTTACAGGAAAAGACAGATTTGAAACTAATTGGTCATTTTGAGACGAAATTAGGTATATCTCAGTCGCTCGRAAGTAGWATCGACAGATCAGTGCATGGATAGCTAGAAAGAATAAAGGAGTACCTCTTGAGTTTGACTTCATATARMCAKAAGACAAGCAAGTTACATTGTCATCCTCATCGAACGGTGGTTCTAAAACAGAGCATGGACTTGGATGGTCTAGATTCTCACTGGCATTTCCAGGTATTAAATGCCTAGAGAAAGGCAACCCTGCCTGCAAAATTTTAGTTTGGTTCTGTAAGTTTATTGAACAAAAAACAGAGATTCTTTTTCAAACTGCTTAGTACTTCAACATTACTGAGAGTAAAAACGACCTAGTACCTACCASAGGCTCGGAACAATATGTAACTAACAGTTATTGGACCTTCAATTTGAAAGCTTCAAATTTTTTAATTCCATACAGAAAAAAGAGGGTTCTTAGTTTTTATTCAGACATGCTTGAACAAACAACAATCAACAAATCCAGACACCACTTCCATACCTGTTTTTTGTAACAAATTTTTATTCAACATTCATCAAGTTCTAGTTGTACCCAGGAACCTTTAACATACTTTACCCGACCCCTCTTACGGTTTTGAACAATTAGAATAATGCCATGGCACATTGTAACTTAATGAGATCCAMAACCAAGTTAATAAGTAGGTAGACACCGCAGGAAGAGAGATCAGATAAAAAAATGATTGGAGCAATTGATGTTTATGAAACTAAACACAGTTACAATTGCTAGTAACAACCAGATGAATGTAGCAACCTTGCCTCAGATGATATACTCATCTGGAAGTAATTACTAAATAGAGGCAAAGTCACCTATAAGAAGGTAAATTACCTCAAGAGAGACCATGCCCAATTTGCTGGTTAGATCGGGAGATGTCCCTGATGATCCACACAAAGCAGGGGATGAGCATTCTTCAAGTCGACTATTGYTGACRAAAGATGCATCATCACCAATCCTGCCAGAAGGTAGAGAAGGCCCAAGTGTTTCTGCAACAGAATTATCCAATTCCTCTTTACATTGAGATGCATTMCGTTTTTCTTTGCYCGGCTTCTTATTCCTAGAGAAAAATAAACTAGAAATTTTTCCTTTAAACGAGGATTTAACTTTTGTTGAACTAGCTTTCTCCAGGGTAGCATCTGTTTTGTCAGTAGCAGAAGTTGAAGCTTCAAGGCCTAGTCTGACACAGGGCATCAATGGAGATACTGGGGCAGACTTTGACCTCTGGAGACTTCTAGGAGAACTGCCAATATCTTCCTTACTGAAGTCAGTACTTAAGCAGGATGCAAAYTCCATGCACTCTTCCTCATTGGAAATCGGATCAATAGATCCAATGGACTTTTTTGCATCTGATAAAGAGAGCATYTCACCCAAAGTACTAGAGCTTCTTCTTACATGCCTTTGTTCTTGAGAATGAGCATTTGATGCCATCATTGACCATCTTTCAGAAAGTCGCTTCTTGGCTTCTCGGCAAACTGATGACTCGGGAGAACATGAAATACGGCTAAAGGAGGATATAGAATATGGGCTATCAAATTTGTTAACGTAGTCCCAAGAATGCCTGGAAGATGGTGACATTAATTCTAAATCACTGATATCTGCCCCTGCATACTCATTCTCTGACTTGTAAAATGAACTCTCRTCACCAGTATAACCATTAGAGAAGACAGAGGAAATCAAAGTTTCATCCCTTCTATGTCCCATTTGATTTTCACTCAACTGTTTAGAGATCTCAATTTCTACTTCCCCTAATTCTGGCACCTCAACTACCTCAGCTTCCTCGTCAAGATTTCCAGAGGTTTTATTAGGTGACGAGCATGGTTGTTGAGTTACCACAGTTTTAACACCATGATTCTTACCAACGTTAGGCTTCAATACCACTATTCGCGTAGGTTGAACATATTCGTCAACTCTCTGGTTTGACAAAGTAGGCACATTACTAGACTTATCACGAGTAGTTGAATGGCAAGCCTGAGCTGGTTTTTTCATCTGATTCTCACACCTTTTYTCTGTTTCAGAAAAGTTCTCATCACCAATTAACTTTGAGGGCCTAAGGATTGTGATACACTTCTTCGTGGGAGATGCAGGAAGTGAACAAAGTTGAAAACTGTGCTGAGAAAATAAGGAATTGGGTTCTTGCAAAAACTTGACAAACAATTCTTTATTGGAGCTGAGAACTTCTAAGGCATCTTGGAATTCTTTAGATTGCCGAAGTTTCTCATCTGTAGCTAGACGCTTTGCTTCCGTGAATTTCTGACGAACAAGAGCCATCTTCTTTTCATCAATATTATTGTCAAAGCTTCCATACTGMAATTTTTCTCTGTCATAATTTGTTTTCAAACATTGCTGCCAGATTCCGTAAACGTCTACTGAGCTTTGATGAATTTGATATAGAGCTCTCTTCTCCAAACAGTCGTCCTCCTGTTCTATACACTCTGGCGGCAGCCTAGATTCTTTAACTGTACACTGAGAACCTCTTGAAGGTGTTCTATTAGCAGCTGAACAACCCTGCTCTGGCAGAGTATCAAGCCCCATCAACTTTGCAACAACGTTTGGGGGAGCAATCTTAGACTCGGAATCTTTGGACATTTCCTGGTCTATGAGCATCTTCATGGGCGTTCCATTTGCCTTCMCAATTGGATATCTCTGCAATGCAGTAATAAACCAAATTTTTACACAACTARAAAAGGAAACCAAAAATCTAAACAACATAGTTTAGTGAATGGACACGTAGTATGTGAATTTTTCATGCTTTGTACAATATGTGCCACTGTTAACAAAGCCTGCTAACAATTTACCAGTCCATCCTCTACATGACTGCCATTGGAGGGATTTGACATCATTGATGCATCTGATTGACTTCTTCGGAGTACAGAACCTGTCCACAAGCAATGTCAATTTCAACAATTATTAGCTCATTAGCAAACACAAAACACACAACAAGTAACAGTGGCATCATAAAGGAGCTCTAGAGATTACAAAAATACATGAGAAAAACAGAATTCAGCAGCCTCAAACTTGCCAACCGTCATCAGACACCCATGATTTTTTTGACCGTATCATAAGAATAATTTTAGGTTTTTCATTTGCCTTTTTTCTTTGATAGCAGGAGAGTTCCGAAATGTGTAATGCATGAATAAAAGTGACCAAGAGCAAGCTAATTTTTTTTACTCGGCCAATTAWATATGATAAAATATGGATTAAAGAAAAAAGACAATTTTCAAGTGAATATGGAACTTGGCAAAACCATATGGGCAACCAAAGTCATGACCGATCGACATTTGAACAGGCAACCAGGTTGAAAACACAAAAACCCAGATTTAGACAGAAAAAAAATCGATAAAATTAAGAACAAAATTCATCCGTTGACTAATAACAATTCGCATTAGCGGACAGTCAAACCTTCAAAGAAGAAATTATATAAATTTGGGAAACGATTATGGTGGAGAGAATAATAAGAGAGAATCGTCGGAAGAACAAATGAGAAAAAGGGAAGTCACCATCACAATGGGGTTTATCCGTGAGAAGCTTGTTCCTACTAACGCCTGCACTCAAGTCAAACAGGTTCACCATTCTTCCCAAGCACCCAGGGAAAGGCTTCTCCATATTATTACGGACTTTTCTTCTTTGTATCTCCTTCATTTCAACACTATGAAAATAGGATTCAACCAAAATTAATTGATTTCTTCAAAAACAACAGAAGCAAAACATTCATCGAGCGTATTTTCAAGAATTTTACAACAACAAGAAGGAAAAAAATGCAAGGGTTAGTTCCGTACCTTAAAGCTTCTGGTTTCAAGCTTCCACCTCAGGACAAGGAACCAACCAAGTTGTAGAAAATTCAGGCAGACGAAGCTAAGAGCGGCAAATTTGGGAGGTAAGATCCCAAGTTTCAAGAAGTAAGAAGCCAATGACCATGGATATGAACAAAGAGGGAGAGAAAGAGAGAGGAAGAAGCCATTCAATCGACAGAGAACAAGGGACTGAATAATGCAGACGGAAAATTCAGCATGTTCACACGAACCATCACATCAGTTCTTACGTCACGGCATGTTAAACCCAAGAAAATTTTCAAATTACACAATTTAATGCTACTGGGTTTTCTGGGAGGAGCTCACTGATCGAGGTCTCAAAGTTCAATTCGGCGTTTAAAATCAGAGTATTGGAAGTTAGAAGCACTGGGATCGAGAATCTCCACTAGAAAAGAAAGGCAAAGCTAAGAAGAAAACCCTGCAATCACTGCCCTAAGAAGGAACTCAGTAAGTTGAAACGCAAATTACTCCGAAAACCAAAAAGGAACAAGTAGAAAGATCGAAAAGGAGAAAGAAAATGGGAGTGATTAAAAAGGAACATAAGAATCTAGTTTCAAAAATCAAGTGAAAAAAGCTGCAATCACGTCAGGCAGAAAGAGAATGAGATTCGAATACCGGTGAAGGGTTCGGAAAACGAGAGATCGAAACGGAGACTGAAGAATTACACAGCAGCGGCGGGGTAAAGAACCAACATTCTGACGCTGAGAGGAGCATTCCAGAGAGAGATGTCGGAGCCGGAGAACACGCCGGAGAGGACGCCGGAAAGGATGACCGGAGATTCGGCCGGGATCTGTGAGGGAAAAAGAGCGTTCGTCGCGTACTCGTGCGGGAGAGTATAAGTTCTCTCTCTCTCCACCGACTCGCTGTCGGACTTGAAAACTTTTTTATCAATTCTGATTTATTTGCGGCTTTCGATTACGGGACCATAGCGTGTAATTGTATTGGTATCTGGTAATTACCATTAAAAAATGGCTTTATTTATTGAATTAAGAATTTTGTCCTTATATTGCAACATTATGCCCATATTTAGTCTCTATGCTTAGAAGTAAATAAATAATTATCGTCAAAAAGCGAGTTTCCATGCAACATGTTATACTAAAAAAATAAATAAATAATTATTCAGTATAGTCAATTCGAATGAATATACATTGTATTTATTATCATTTTAGATATGGCTATGTCCATATCAATGGTTATGTCCATATCACTGTCATTGATGATGATTTTGAAAGGAAAAAAAGTTGTTAAATTTTTATTTTCGTAACAAACAAAGTCAAGATGAAAATCTAGTCCTCGTTACTGTATTCACTAAGTAGGATGATTTTAGGCAACTGAGATCATAAAATTCAAATAGATGATTAAATTATAACTTTTTATCATATCTTCATTTGAAATCTCTTATATATATATATATATAAAAAAAAAAGATATAATAATAATGTCCTCTCTCACTTATCTCCCTCATGCAATGCAAGTAATCATTTTACCTCCAAGTTCAAGGTTGATTTTGGTGATTTTATTTATTTATAACTCAATTTGGGTCCAGTCAAAAAAATAAAAAATAAAAGAAAATCTCAATTTGGGCCTAATACACCAAGTACAAGTATAAATGATAATTATATCAAATAACATTATTTACCAAATTATTATGTTTGATATTCATTTATTGAATAGAAAATATATTACTTTGTAGGCTATGAAATACGCATATGTATAGAAAGAAAATCGTAGTTTTGTAAACCAAAAGGTTTTAGAAATAAAATTTGTGGATTTATTTCCTTATTGGAAATATAACTTTCTTCTTTTGAAATTATATAAAATTTAGATAATTTCATATAAAATTCAAAATTAATTGGATRTATTTCCATTTATATAGCAGTTTTCTATTGAAGTGATTCATATAAATTATTGTTTAAAACTTTCGTTCTAAAGGCAACACAGAGATAATGTTTGCTATTTTCGGTAAAATGATCCAAAAATAAATCTCAATGATGAATATGTTAAAAGGATCAATTTGAAAAGAAATTTTATTTTTAGTTTAATATTTTTAGGGGATCAAATCAACTCTATGAGTTATAACTCCTGGCAAAAAATCGATAAAATAAAAAAAAAAGTCAAAAATCAACGAAATATCACTAACACATATATAATATTAGTATTAGTAATATTTACCTTATTTAAAAATAGTGACAATATTMATTTGTTAATTTATTTGTTATGAATATTTTATTTTTACAACTTTTCTAGAAATATCCATCAACATCGAATCAAATTGAGATYTCGACATTTCCATCTATATARACATTAAAATCTATAATTAAACGCTGTTTATGCAATGATATGCACAACAGTGTATTTCAGATTGCAGCTCGAACTCGGCCTYCGGACCRATCTGAATACTGGGGCGGACCTGCACAAAAAGGTGAGCACTCCGACGATCAAGTCAGTATAGGTCGGACTCCCARCTWAGTTCGAGGTCAGAAATCATCGTACCTGATCGTGGAGTGAGGTCCTCTACTTATGGGTGGTAGTCCCGCTAATCTTGCGACGGTTACACCCGGTAATCTCGGGACCGTCGGTTACACCCGGTAATCTCGGGACCGACGGTTACACCCGATAATCACGCCGCTGACAGTAGCTCACATCGGCCCCTACCGAGCTTCCCAGTAGGTCGGACCTCGGCCAGGTTCACCTCGACCCTCATACTTAGCATCTGTCAACGCTAGTGGTGGTGATCTCAGCGGTCCGAGCTGGGCATGACTCATGAGTCATCTTGGAGCACCAATAGGAATCCTCCACGTGTCCAGGGTATTCTCTTCCCCAAACATTGGCCCCCTCTCTGTCGGGTCCGATCTCGACCTGGCAGCGAAGTTCATTCGACTTGCTTTGGACACGTGGCGACTCCCTACTCGTGGGAAAATATAACCGTTGCGGTAGATTTATCGTCGGAATATTCAAATATTCCGACGCTTCGGATCTTAGGAAGGATCCTAGCCGCTCGTTGATTACACGTGTACGGTGGGGAAATTTCTCCGACGAGCTATAAATACCCCCAATCCTTCAGGTCATACCTTACGTTCCCTGAATTCTTGGAGTTCGATCTGAAGGTAGCTCGAACCCTTGGTAGGTCGGTCTCTTCCCTCACTTTCTCTTTCGAACGTAGTAGCCATGTCGTCCTCTTTTAGCAGCAACTTAGGATCCGATGAGGATTTAGCTCCTAGGTTAGAGTCTGAGCTCGAGGAGATAGAAAACTTTAGGTTCTCCGATGACGAGGAGGATAGTGATGCCTCCAYCTCGGGTCAGGGTTTGGAATACCCTTCTAGGATACCTGAGCACTACCTCGGATCCCTTCGTAGGGGGTTCGCTATCCCTGAGAACATCCTCCTTAGGATTCCGGAGGAGGGGGAGAGAGCTGACAATCCTCCAGAGGGATGGGTCACTCTCTACTTCAAAATGTTTGAGTACGGCCTCAGACTTCCCCTTCACCCTTTCGTCCAAGAGTTTCTNTATTCTCTTCCCCAAACATAGGTGGTTTTAATAAATGTCAAGGTTGCTTTATTTAAAGAGTTGTGAATGTGGTTGTCATAGATGGAAAAAAGTTGATTTAATAAAAGATATGATAATAAATATGAATATATTTGAGAAAAGTTTTAAATTCGATAAAGTTGTCTGTCCACTGCCGAGGTTGATAAGAGAGGCTTAGAAAGGTGACGATGGTGTGTGGATATGAGTTGCAATGAATGTTATGAGATGTAAGATTTGCATCATGTACGAGGAGAATGGTATCCAATTAAAATGAGTCGAAATGTAAACTGAAAATTTGGCAAATATTAAATAATTAGTACACCACATCTCTACAAAATGTTGATCAACTATAAAAAAGCATATACACCCAGTGGGATCGATTTTGACCACATGAGTAGAAAATGACATTTTTATTACAATATTAATCATGGTTTTTACTGAGATAATTCACTTACAATTGATCCGGGAAAAATTGGTCTAATTTGCTCCTTGAAATAAGCCTATCTCAATATTAAATTATGGAAATTAGAAAAACAAATTTTACTAATCAAAGGAAATAAAAATGAAAAAACATTGAGACGTAAGTAACAATGAAAAAATATTTAAAAATGCAGATAGATGTTGGAAAAAGTAGTCGTTTATTAGAAGTTAGTCTAATTCACAACAAATTCATCATTGAATTTTAATAAATGCAAGTGACATTTAAATACAGGTGTTTCTACCCGCCGACCTATCAATTAAATTTTTTACTATTTATTTATTTTCAATATTTACTTATTCTGCAAAATTTTCCTTCATTTCTAATGTATCGATCAACAGATTGTTGATGTTACTGAAATTTAACAAACTTAACTTAAATCAAAAATCGTGAGTTGGACCTTATATTTAAACAAATAAAGGTACCAATTTAATGATTATTTTTATTTATTGATCAAAACGATTTTTTTATTTTTATTTTTCTGTTTTTAAAGAAATTAAACTTACTAATACTATTTACAACCACGACTATATATTTATTATTTTATTATATGTTTTGTGAAAACTATTTCAAAATCAAAGTCAGTCTTAATAACTAAAAAAACAATGTCTTTAAAGTTTGTGTTTTTTTCCCGTAAGATTTGGCTAAATTTTTCAACCGTTGTAAAAAAGTAAAATACACCATAAATAGACGAAACGAAAAGAAAATAAGTATAATTTTTAAAAACATACCATTAAAAATAGATCGTTCTAGAACAAAACCTTAATTATTTTGTTTAGATAGTACAATAAAAACTTTTAATGTCTCCATTGACAGTGTTTCAACAAATTTTAGTGTCATTAATTAATAGTGTCAATGAAATTCAATAATGATATTGTTTTTTTTTATATACAACACATGGGGATAGGAGTTTGAACTCATGACATTTTTGGTCAGAGATAGGTGTCTTRACCATTTGAGCTGTTCGGTTTGACCAATAATGATATAGTTAAAGTCTAACATATGTATAACTTTTCATTATTCAAATTTTACAAAATAGTTAAACAATTACTCAATTGAAAATTTTAAAATATGGATACAATTTTTTTTTTTTTGTTATAGAATTATAATTTAAATATGGGATGAGATGTAAGTTCTAATACATCTTAACTAGTCCTGAAGTGAAAATTAGAAACATTGAAAATAAAATTAGAAAATCATATTAATTCACAAACTATTATTATATATTTAACCGAATCAATCTGGAGGATATATTTATTTAGAAAAAAAATCCTAAATCAACGGGCAATCAATTTCAACTAACCTTTCATTATGCATTGAACAAAATAGTTATTATTACATCATTAATTAATTTAGCTTAATTGAGATTCCATCAATTAGACACGTAAATATTTATAATATAATTTGAGATTAAAGTTGCACCTTGGATTGAATCCAAGGGGCATTATTTAAACACTATGATCACTTCATTAAATATTGTCCAACAAAAAGAAACAAAGAAAATAACTTTAATGCATCACTAACAATTAAATCATGCTTATTTTAATAGACATTACTGTCAATGATCTAATAAGAAGGGGAAAAAAACACATTCCTTCTAATGGAGATGCCACAAAAAGCCTAACTCTACGAAGATCATTATCAATGAAAAAGAAAAATGAAAATTAAACATGGGTTAAAAGTATATTCAACGCTTCGTAGTTCTTTTAAAATGTTTATTTTGATATATGTATTTTTAACTTGGTTCGTTTTAGTCTATATGTACTTCCAAACTGTTTGATTTAGTCTCGTACTTATAAAATGTGATAATTTTGCTACCTATTTGTTAATTTTTTAACACAAATCATATACACATAACAAAATTTTTTAATATAAAGTCACTGTTACATTTCAAGAATATATTGAATGTATTCTCGTGTTGAAATTATAATAGAAAAAAAAAGAAAAATTGAAAATAAAATTTAAGAATCAAAATTGTCACTTTTTTAAAGTATAAGTATGAAAACAAATATTTTGAAATTACAAAAACTAAAATAAGCCAAAATTAAAAGTGAAGGCGGACCCATGAATATTTTAAAAATAGATAACCAAAATTAAATTTTAACCATAAACAAATATTTTGGCTACGCGCATCTCATCATAGTTGTACCATTGTGTCAAAGCAACGTAATGCATAAAGGTCGACTTATCGTTTGTCTATCTCATGTTATTACACATGCAATCACAATATTCATGCATGCAGATTCACTAATTGATTGTTTAATTTGTTTGCAAAATATTCACGTCATGCTTTAATTAAAAGTAAACTATAAAATTAACCCATAAGACTATAGGTTATCTAAAATTTTGTAAGCAAAATATCTAAAATTTAACTGGAGAGACAATATCCCAACTCAACTATATTAAAAAAAAAAAAAAAAAAATCTAACATTTTCTAATTATTGTTATCCGGCCTCCAACACAATCATAAAATCTAACATCACAAAAGTAGGCACCTCTAATCATAATAATCATTGTATCCATGTGTAAACTACACAATAATTATAAATTAAATTGGATTATTGAATATTCTTATTTATTTCTTCACTAAATTAAATTAAATTAAAATCATTTTCTTAACTAAGTGTAAATGTATCGAATGTTGACATAGTGGCAAGAGGCCTACCTTCAAAATTTAGGTTCGAGCCCTTCTATATCTTGAAAAAAAAAAATGCAATAGAAAAATAAAAATCTCATAAAATTATGTTCATTAGTTATTACATCATTTATCTTATTTTTTTCCTTTTTCCCGTCAAGTAATCAAGTTTGTTTTAAAAGTCTTACAACCAAAAAAAAAAAAGTCACCAAATTTAAATAGTCTKATTTATTTCACAGGTCCACAAAAAATGCGGGTAGTGTTACGTATTAATTCACTCAGTTCAAAAACCACACCATTGGTTGGATTTTAAACGTGAATATAAATGAATAATAATGTCACGTAAATAAATATTAATATCTCTATAAATTAATCTATAAATGCCTCTCAACTTTTTTTGAAATTTTGAGGCTAAATATATGATGATCATAAGTTAATGTAACGTGATATTTAGTGAGTCTAGAAAATTAGAAAATGAGTCAGGTTAATCAAAAAAAATGAAAAGTCTATATTTTTTTTACCAATTTATGAGATTTTTGAAGGAGATATTATGCATTTTTTTTATCTCTCATCTCTGAAGTGATCTACTTGATCTTATAATTTGATGTCAATTATTATGTTACCTAAACTTACCATCAATCAATTATAACATTTACCAATGAAAATAGTATAAATGAACAATGTTAAAATATAAAACATTAAATTGAAATTTTAAACCATAAAAATGAAATTAAGAAAGTACTCCAACAAGGGTTATGATTATAATATATGGAAATAGTCTGTACTTAAAAAAATGAAAAAAAAATATATATATTTGTTGAGAAAGAAATGAAAATAGTTGTTACCTGATAAAACTATTAATTTATTTCTTAATTGTTATTATAAACCAGTGAAAACTGAAAAGCCTTTGTACTTTGGTGGAGGCTAAAGTGACAGACTGTGATATTGATTATTAAAGATTGTTACCAATTGGCAAGTTGACCGTAACGTAAGCACGAGATAGCTACGTCAAATTATTCGCCTGTCGTTTTAAAATAACAAATATTTGTTTTTCTTATTTTGAAAGAAATCATTAAACTATTCCTGAAATTTAGAAAAGAAGGAATGTTTCTGTGAGAAACCATTTGAATATTGGAGTATGGTTTCAAGCTTTTGGGACAGTTCAGAACCGTTGGAATACAACTATAGTAATAAAAAAATAAAATTTAGTTATTTAAATGAAAATGTTGACACCAAAATAGAGTAAAAATAGTGCATATGATGTGAATTGACAAAAATATATATATATTTTTTAAGGTTACATAGTGAATTTAGATTGTTTCTATAATTTAGATTATTGGCCATTCTTAAACCCCTTTATTCACTTGAAAATTAATAATTATCTCATATTTTTAATTTACTTGTAAAATAGTTTAAAGTCAATCAAATAGAAAATGTGTCATGTCTTCGGTACAATAATAACAACAAAGGTGAATTGTGATATTCAATCAAATTATATYAACTAACTTAAAACTTCTAAAACTATAGTGAAATAAAGTACAAACCATAGATACTACATTACTAATTTAACGTAATATTAAGTTTGGTTAGCTCATCTTTCTCCTCCGTTCTAAATATATGTTGTTCATCGATAGTACTGACAGAATTTATCAGATAACAACAATGTAGRAAAACAAAAAGAAGAGAGATGTAGATTTTAAGACAATGACAATACCAAAAAAGATCGATAGACGAAGAGATAAGACGCAAGGAAAAAGAAGAGAAAAGAATAATAAGTAAACTCTTATGACTTTGGTAAAAAAAATTTAATGTAATATGCTAAGTCATGGCAAGTCTAATCAACAAGTATCTGCTGTGTACTTTTTTTCGACAGTCAAATGACTAACGATACCATTTAAAACTATTTAGCGAATATTAGGGACTCAAAGACAAAAATTCAAGAATTGTAATTCAATCGGGTAAACAAATAAAGTTTTAAAATTAGATAAATTTAGACCCGAGCCTGGATCCGGACCCGAGATTGGAAGGTGGGCGTGTAATTGGATCTTCTGAGGTCTGACAAAGAGAGAGAGAGAGGTATGTTTTTATTGTTGACCGCTTGTTGTCTACCCGCCCCTCTCTCTCTCTCTCTTATTTTCTCTCTCATTCACATGCCAAAAGAAAATTCTGGACATCAATATTTCAGATCTCAGAACAGAGAGAGAAGAAGAAAAAAAGTTAACCAATTTATAATTACCATTTTATCTTCTATAACTGTACATCTCCTCTCATAAGGGAAAAGGGAGTTATTTCTGTAGTCATTAAAATTACACTACGACCAATTTATAATTTAGACCATAAACTATCTCCTTTTTGTTCTTAACTTACTCATGAAAGATTTTGATAATCAGAAAATTCGAATTGCTTTATTAGTTATTTCCCACACCCGAAAGAAAATGGTGTTCGTGTTCCTTTTATTTGTACAGATTACAGAGCAATTTGGGAAGTGGGCTCCATTTGATATAGTGGTGGAGTTAATAGTTATGCAAGCATAATGCGCACCAGCTCACAATTTCTGTGTTTCGTCCAAGGTAAAAAAAATTGGTACTTTCTGAAACTGGGTGGCCTCCGAAAGCGAAAGAATACTCTGTAGCCGTGGCTGTGGGTCCTCTGGATTTCTGCTCTATGACCTTCGTGGCATTGCCACCCCTCCATTTCATCTTTTCAACTCAGAACGTGGCTTCCCCTTATATCAAACCAAACCCACCATTTTCTTCTCCACTCTCCACAACGGTTGCGCCCCATTTCCCCTGAATTGAAAAAAAAGGAAGAGAAGTTTGCAGTTTGCAGCGGCCATAAAGCTCATCCTGCTTTTCCATGTGCGAACTTGATTCTATTTATTTATTTATTTACTCTCTCTCTCTCTCTTTCCACTATTGACCTTTTTCTAGTGGCCTATTTCTTCCTTTGCTTCCTCCCACCGAATATATGCTCAACTTTCAAGGACTGGAGGGATATCAGAAGGAGGGATTTTTGTGTTTTGGGAACAGCATAAGACTAAGGTGCTTCCTCTTGCCTCTCTCTCTCTTGTGCTTCTTTGACTGGACTGATCTCTTGCTTCTCCTTGGATCCAATTCTTGAGGCAAGCAAAAAAAAAAAAAAAAGCTGATCTTTGCCTTGTTTATTATTAGTATTATCATACTTTTTTTTCTTTTTCATCATTTCATCTCTTGTTTTGTACTTGTTTATTAATCTTACTTTCTGTAAAACTTTGTGTTGTGGGTTTGTGGGTTTATCTCTCTTAATCATGTTTAGCCTTTAAAGCTCTTTTTTGTGGGGTTGAAGAAAGACTGAATCTTTTGCCCTATTTCCCCCCCTTTCTTCTTCTTCTTCTTTTTCCCTGTTTKCTTGAGTTTCATTTACCTTCTGGAACCAATCGGAAGCCATTCTTAAGCTTGCTGGTTCATCCCTCTCAAAATGGCGATTTTTTGTTTGATTCTTTTGGTTTTAGATCCCTTTCTCGTTTCTCCGACCATGCCCCCTGAATAAGTTTCTGTTTCAGGAGATTTGGGACAGTTTTCAGCTTCAAATTATAACAGTCAATCCTCATATTTACCTTAAAAGGATTTGATTATGGAGGACGAGAGGGAAGATGAAAGTTCCTTGACCTTGCATGTTATGTTAGTCTCTACCCAGAACTCAATAACACAGCTCATCTCAGTTCCTAGATTGAAGCCTTTTCTTTTCTTTTCTTCTTCTCTTTTGGAATTGATGTGTAATTCTCTTCTCTATTGATAGTATGCAAAATCTTATGAGTATGCTTTCGATTTTTGTATTCAGGTCTTGAAGAAATATGTGATTTGGATAGAGAGGGAGAGGTCAGTAGTGCAGTTTTTCTATTTAATCAAGTCTGGTTGTAAAGGATAGGGATTTTCCAGCTATTCATGAACCTTAATTCATTGGAGATAGAATATGGAACAAACATCGTTCGATGATCGGAAAGATCAACAAGGAAAAATTAGTTCTTTCTGTGACAGAAACAAGGATGGGGAGATGTTAGAAAATGGTGATTTGGGTCTGTCAAAGTCAGTATCAAGAGGATTGAATAAGAGGGTAATGCTGCCTCGTGCATTATATTTGAAGTTGAAGCAACATCGAATCAGTAAAAACTACGTTCACGATTCATTTTTTAATTGTAGTATAGGGTTAGATTGTAAGGTTCCGAAGTATATGGTGACGATAGACGAGAAATACCTTCGACGTTGCTTGGAATTGATTCAAATTAGTTCATCAAAGCCTGCTCGATGCAACATATCTATAAACTTGAGCTCTGCGAAGATTGGTGCTTTGTCTGCAAGCTTGAGTACTATGTCTAAATTAAGAACAAGAGGGATGCGTGATTTGGAACGGTTTGTTGTCACGTGCCCTTCGCACGAGGATGGCAACATGGTCGTAAGCTCAAGCAAATTGTGGTATGTAGGTTCGATAATGGAGAGCCAGAGCATGATCAACATATTGAAGAGTCCTTTATTGCATCAATTTGGTATCACAGACAGCACTTCAAACTTCATAAGAATGGACTTGAATGATATAAAGGGCTTCACAGGCAGTGGTTTTACGGACTCTTCGGGTGGTGTGGATATATCTTCGTTGAAGAAACTAGAAAACGCGAAACCAACAAAGGAAAGCCATCAAGATGGATCTGATACAGCCAATGAGAGGTTTTTCTTTACACCTAGCAGAACTTCTTTATGTTCTGACCAGTCTTCTTCGGGATCAGCTTCTGCACCGCTGTGTCAGGGTATGCTTCAGTTTACATGGAAGGAAGGAAGTCCTCACTTCATCTTCTCGGTGGACGATGAGAAGGAAGTCTATGTGGCTAGCTCATCGAAGGTTGCATCAGCAGATAATAAGGCCTTGGACTATGTTTATTTCTTCCATTCCCAGAAGAGCAGTCTAAAGGATCATGAAACGAGACATAGCAGACCCGGTATTGTTGGTAAGATGACGGTGTCGACTTCTTATAGTGTCTGTCAAAATAATTCAAGAATTGCGGATACTGAATTTGTGTTGTTTGGTGGTATTGAAAATTCTGACTTAGAGATTAACACTTCAAACAATATCCTTAAGAAGAATAAGGTCTTCCCAAGAAAGGTGGCTGAAGTATTTAGGACAAGTAACTCATCTAAACATAGAAGCACGCCCAATTCCAATAGATCAGGTGTCATAAAGAATTCTTGTCCTTGGGAACCATACTCGGATAAACTCAACAACGTTGACGACTTAATTTGTGCTCGTGACCTTCCCCCCAATCTCGAGTTGGCTGCTGTCATTGTGAGAGACCATCTCCCCGAAGATCGTGGCAGTAGAGGTGGAGGTTGGGGTTTAAAGTTCCTCAAACAGATCGAGTCCAAACAAACAAGTGATTCACCAAAAACCTCAGTGCAGGCCGACTGTTGTTTGCGAAGCAGCGGAAAATGTTCGACAAGCATGGATATTCTTATCCCTGCTGGTCTTCATGGCGGGCCTAGAACAAAAAATGGGGGTCCTTCCAGCCTCACAGAACGGTGGCGATCGGGTGGACTATGTGATTGTGGTGGTTGGGACATCGGATGTCCTATAACAGTACTTCAAGGCCAATCGGAGAACCAAGATACTCCGCCCCAAGCAGATATGCAAGAATGCAGGGCATTTAACATACATGCTAAGGTATATATACATATACACTCTCCCAATGTGTCTTGGAGTCGTGTGCTCGATGTTGCATCTCAGGGCACGGACACTACAATGACAAGAACAGTTTTGTTTCTTTTTTTGCACGATTCTTACTTTTGTATCATTCTGGAATTTTAGTTATAGTGCATTTCTTGACGAGTTCTGTTTTAGCGATCGGATAATGAGCATACTACCATTGTTTTTCAGGGTTCTGAGCATGGTCCTCCAACCTTGAGGATGGTGAACATCCGCGACAGCTTGTACTTTGTTCATTTTCAACCGAAGCTATCGCCTCTGCAATCTTTCTCGATTGCAGTGGCGATCGTCCATTCGCGAAGTCCCACTCTCAGACCCAGAAATGTACAGGAGATAAAATAGGCAAGATTGAGGAAGTAAGTTTGATGATAACAGTTGAACTTTTCTTACTCCATAGCACAAACCGATAGGCAATGTTGAGCTTTTACTGTGTTTACACATGAAAAATTAGTAGTGTAGCTGATTTGTAATTTGTCTTTTAGACTGTGAAAGAAACTCCATAGCTTGTTCCATTTTTGACCCCTACAAGCTTCTGATAAAGCATTTGTATGAAACCCATAAACATAAACAAAGAAAGATCGAAGTTGCTTCGATCTGATTTTGTGTTACTTTTATTCGAAAATTTTGTTTGCAGCGGTGTGAATGGGAAGTTGTTTCAACTTTCAATTGTGGGGACGTGTTTGAAGAGGGATTTGGTTAATGTCTTTTGACTTTTGGGTTTGATTTTGACATTCAATTCCGTGTCTACAACGGAAATTATCGAGGATTTTTTCTTATTAATAATATTATAGTTTTGTCAAGGATCTTTGTAAAATAATAATAAAATAAAGGTAGTTTGAAAAGTTTTTTGAATTTTGTAACCGTTTAAAAAACATAGGCTACGAAATCGTCTTTTTCCGCAGGACTGACTATTTTTTCAAATATATTGTGAAAGAAATTTTAAGTTCTACGAAGTTTAGATTAATAAGAGAGTACTGCTAAAAAAGAAAAAAAAAAAAGTAGAAGAGTAGGTTAGGATAGATAAAATAATGGCGAGTATTAAAAAAAAATAGAAAATAGTTCCAAATGTATTTACCATTAATTAGAATAATCACTAAAATAAGGAGGGTAATGAAAATAAATAAATAAATAATGACGACGATTTTTCAATACTAATACGAACATAGTTCAACAGTAATTGATATGTATTATTTTCTCTCGAGGTCGGAGGCTGAGTCCTCCTTAATCCAAAGGGTTAGAGTGACTAAATTTCTAATTAAATAGATATCTTTTAATCTAATTGTAATAAGTTTTATTTTATAAAGAAAATAATGTATTAAGTTTTCAAACTTCCTATTTTCAATTAATTTTTTTCTAAAAATATCATATTTACTGCAAAGAGAACTTGGACCAAGAACGTTATTAAATGAGGCCCAAACAGTGACCCATCCGCTTATTGGGCCTCAATTGATTTGAAAGCCCAAGTCCGTCCGGCATCCCCTGTAAAATTTGTGCATAAATATTCCAAAACCCTACTTCATTCGAATCAGACGAGGAAACTGTGTATTGTGTAATCTAAAACCCTAATTTCTCTTCCTTTCACAATCATCCCGTTCGCCTTCTTTCTTCCTCCATCGCCTGCGGCTGCCCTCTCCATTACTTGTGTCCTTAAAAAGAGAATTTGCTGGTGATGTGGTGTTGAGGATTCTCTGTTTCTCTGCACCTCCCATACCCAGCAAGATCGTAGACCAACCTTGCCCCTTTCCCGGATGATAAATTCGTTTATCGTCCCTGTCAAGGTTGGGAAATTTCTACGTGAATATTCACTCTCTCTTTGCTTTTGGTTGAGTAGTTTTTTATTGTAGTTTTAGGATGTCGCGTCTCTAATGGATGCTCACTACTTAATCGGGTTGAAATTGATTGTTAATGGTGTTCGCGAGTAATGTGGCGCCCCCCAGACTTAGTCATGTATCCTTCCTTGATTTTAATGGTTTGATACAGTTACGAGTCTGGAAAATTGACCGAGTCCATCGTTACAGATGTGTGAAACAATTTGAGCGCACATCTGCTCCATGTGGTCTCTACATGATATCATTGATTAATTCTTCCCAGATTTCCAGCTCATAACATTTCTTTAGCCAATGATTTTATTCAGAAGTATTCTCAAAGACGGTCCACATTTGATTTTATACTTAATCTTCCAAGTTCTTAACATTTGTGAGGGTAAATTCAACGAGAACTTCAAAACCCTGTTTAGTTCATGTATGCAGGTGAAATACTTATATTGTTTCTTCTCCGCAGTGACCTTGAGTACATGGTAGATGAGTATGTCATTTGCATCTTTTTCGAGGGGATGTGGTGTCTCATCCAAGTGAGGCTTCGCACGTTGTGAGGGGTAGCATGAACTTTGAAGTTGTCAAGTTGACAATGGAAGGGAACGACTTTGAAGAGTTGTCATTAGGAATTGTGTATTAATCAGGCCTTTTTATCTGTTGAGCAGTGTATTTTAGCCCTTTTCATGGACATCTATACATCAGAAAAAACACATTAGACCCCAATTAAGCACTAATGGTTCGTCCATTATCACATTAGTCCTCAGAAAAATAACTTCAATTGATTTGATTGTTTATTTCCCAACTTCTGGATGGCATGAAGACCCATACATAATCATATCATTTTCTTCCATTTCTCAATTGGTGTATCATTATCACGTCCACATGGGTATTTGGTCGGGGCAGGCAACAAATATACCAACTGCGGAGCATATTATTTTACACAATGTTTTGTTTTTTGTAGGGTCATTAAAATGGATTCAGAGAAGAACTCGGATGGAAATGCTTGTCATGTCTATCACGTTTGTTAATCTGAAATCACTGAATATATAATCCAAAGAATTCCAGATTTCACTCTTTGTTGAATTCGATGCCTCTCTGGCTTGTCCCGCATGTGATTTGTGGCCGCCAGCATCAGGGTGCAAGTGCAATGTGAAATGCAGTTTTATCATATTTTTTAAAAAGAACAGAACATTTGAATTATTAGGGATCAAAATGAAATATATTGTTGAGAGTATTATTATTTTTTGTTTGAACATATTGTCTTGATTATTTAATTTAAGTTAAAATGGCATTTTGATTCTTTACTTTTAAAAGGTTAATTTGGCCATTAATATATTAAATTTTAATAATCAAAATTTATTAATATATCTTTCTCGAGACAATATTGCTAATCCATTAATCTTGTGACACAATTGATTTATTAATTTTAATTCGGCTACTATGCTTTAGTTATATGCATTCAGAAAATCATTTATCTTTTTTATATAATTTATTGGAACAGTAGAACACAATCAATTTCATTTTCTAAGATTCTCCCGATTCAAAAAAATAAATTTAAATATATATATATATTTATTAAAGTGTATTATTTAATGTCAGAAAATATATTATATATTTTCAGATTATCATCACACAATAATTTTAAGAATTTCATATAAAAAATATTTTCATTTTTCAAATTTATTTTTAGGTTGTTAAATTGCTTGGTCTATAATGATAAAATAAGAAAATTTAAACAAATCTCAATGGATCTGTTGAGTATATTTTAAAGAAGCCAAGAGGTGATTTTTGGCTGGACCAAATCACTTTTTTCGGCTAAAATCACTTCAATTATCAATCAGTTTTTCATATTAAAAAATTGATTTTAGAAAAATATAAATTACTTAAAATTAATTTTTTATAACTTTGAAATCAATTATTCTTAAATATCTTATTCCTAAATCACTCATTTACCCTAACTTCCAAACACACCCTTAATCAATATTCAAGATTCCATCAATGAAAAAAAAGGTACAGATAACAATGCTTTTAATAACATTTTCTTTATTATTTTCCTCTTATTCTACTTTTTTTAACCTCTTGTTCTACTCGTGCTACATTTATTACCCCAAAACTTTGATAACGACGAAAATAAATTTTCTATTTTATTGATATAAATTGATCTAAGATGAATAGATAAAAAGATTAATCAAAGTGACTAAATTAACTAATTAGTTCTATACAATATATAAAAATTTGCACATTACCCAAACGTGATTTTATTGCCAATCTATGAAAAAAAAGATAAAGGGGTGAAAAAACAATGGAGAGAAATTTAGGAGGTTGGTTGATTGTGGTTTATGTAAAAAAAAAAATTCATTTAATTCGGATTTTTTTTTCAAAGAATTAAATAAAACATATTATTCTAAGCTTAAATTTATATTAGTCTCTTTTGTGGAAAAAAAAAAAGATCATTGACATTGAACAATCTGAAGAAGCTGATGACAAATAGAAAAATTCAATGAAGTTGTGGCACAGTAGCCTGCATTCAGGGTCCATGTGATCTTATTTTGCTCTCTGTTGACTCTGTCCCTTCGGATCATCAATCCCCTCTGCCTCTGATGCCTACATAAACGCTTCCCCAACCCCACATCCAATTCACTCTGAAATTTCTCCTCACGAACCACAATCAAAAAATGGCAATGGCAATGGCAATTCTCTCCTTCTTCCTCTGTCTTCTGATCACTACAGCCGCTGCAGACTGGAACATTCTGAACCAGAGGACCAAAAGCGGCCTCAAAATCAGCCTAAAAAACTACTGCGAGGGCTGGCGATTGAACGTCGAGCTCCACAACATCCAATACTTCCAAGTGGTTCCCGAGGAATGCGTGAGCTACATCGGCAAATACGTCTCCTCCACTCAGTACAGAGTCGATTCCGAGAGGACCATCGAAGAGTGCGTCGTGTACCTCACCAAAGCCTGCGCCCTCAAAGGCGACGGCACCGATGCTTGGGTCTTCGACATCGACGACACCCTCATCTCCACCGTGCCTTATTACAAGAAAAACCAATATGGGTAACTTTCATTTCTCCTGAAAAACTGTTTGGATGTTGATTTTGAGTCCAATTTCAAATGGGTCTGTGTTGATTGGAATGGGTGTATGTGAAACAGGGGCAAGAAATTGAACCTGACGGATTTGGAGGCGTGGATGAGCAAGGCGAATGCGCCAGTTCTCGCGCACACGCTCAGGCTTTTCAATCTGTTGAAAGCGAGAGGAGTGGACATTATTTTGATTTCTGCGAGAAGGGAAAATATCAGATCGGCCACCATTGAGAATCTTGTTCAGGTGGGCTACCATGGGTGGACCAATCTCATCTTAAGGTGAGTTCTCAGTCCTCTGTTTCCCTTTTGGTTTCTGTTTTGTTCTTTGTTCGTGATTCATGGGTTTTGTTTAATTTGCAGGAGCGCTGAAGATGAGAAGAAGGGAGTTGCGAAATACAAGGCAGATGCGAGAAGGCGATTGGTGAATGAAGGATATTACATTTGGGGGAATGTGGGAGATCAATACAGCAGCATTGTGGGAAGTCCAAATGGAAGAAGAACATTCAAACTTCCAAACCCAATGTACTATGTTTCTTGAGTTATCAAATTTCGATCTGCTTTTGGATTTTGACTCCATCAATGAACGGCGGCGAGGATTGTGATTTCATATATATGGAGAGAGATGTGATGAATAAGCTGTATTTTGTATTGGTATGGTTTGATTGTAGATCAATCACGTTGGATCTTTAGCTCTGAAGATTGGGAAAAGCTAGAGGGTGAATGCATTTTGATCTAAGAGAGAGATGATGAATAAGTCTTTATTTTGTATTGGCATCGTTTTCTTTTAAATCAAATCATGTTGGATCTTTGGCTGTATTTTGTGATCGATTTATTTTCTTCAATGATCTTCTCTCTGGTAGGTCTCAATTTCATATAAATATCCGTAAAAAATATTTAAATTAATAAATAAACGTTTTTTTTTCTATTTCTATATAAGTTAAAAGATGATTGATATTTTGTCAATTTTTTTTGTACTATGATAAAAATATTAATTTATCCATTATTAAACCATAGATACACGTGTCGTGGAAAGAGAAAATATAATTTATAATACGTCTTGAACTATGGGATTAGTTTTAGCTTGAGAATGATAATATCTATGTTTATTAAAGATATTTAACCATTCAATTATCCATTATTATACCGAAAAAATGATTAAAGGTAGATTTGAGAGTAACTATGAGAAAGAGCCATTGTTTAAGAGAGGTAGAGAGGTAGAGAGGGAAAGAAAAAACCATTCTTTTTGTGTAAATCTCGAAAAAGTTGGTCGAGGTTGCGGCCGAGGGAGTTGCAATTGCTGGTTACTGAACCAAGCAGTGGTTGCTTTTCCTTGGCTTATTGAACCAATGTATGCCTTGCCAATTTTTCATTTGACGACTCCAGGAGAGAACTTATGCCTTGCTCATTCCTTCTTTGATGACTCCCAATAGAGAAAGTCTCAATTTATCGATGTGGATTGAAAGGAAGTTGGGGATAGACATAGACCCTTCTTCCTATCCCGTGTGTTGGAAATAAATCAATAGTTTTTTTTTTTTTTTTGATTTCCCGATCACTCGGAATGAGGGCGGAGATCAAGGGAGAAGCAGCAGCTGCTGAAACTTGAGAGAGGAAACGGAGGTTTTGGTTCCATAACCATTTCAACCCCAATCAAAGTGCTCTCTCTCTTGCGCGCGAATGCATATGCCTATTCAGAACAGGGGTGAGACCAATGGGGTCTATGAGACTGCTCAGTGCTGCATAAACATGGATTCTGGACGGAGACAACAATGAATGAGGCTTCTCAGGTTCTGCAACACTCTATTTCTTGATTGAAGGCATGTAATTTGGGTGTTCAGTTGATAGATGAAGTTTACTTAATTTGAACCTTACAACACAACACCAGATATAGTATATGCAAATTCACCTGATACACCACGCGTTTCAATTGATGTCTGAATTATATATGGTGAAGGTCAAATATGATCAGAAGACACATCATCATTTCCTACGAAGAAAGAGTCTGGAAACGATAAGCGTCGAGTCTCTGAACTTGACTGACTTTTCAACAAAGTTATCAAACTAATCACTAACGTTTGAATGGTAAACGCTTAACTGTATTCCCACCTCACAACATATCTCAAATAACTGTTGAATTTAGCACACGACTCCAACAGTTATCTCCCCTTTCAAATAAATACCCAAGAGAGAAATGAAAGAGGCACGCAAACATCTTGATTTGAAATCTTACTCTCTAAAATCCTGTAGTGACAAAAGCTTTGGAGTGCTAATTCCTTGTTTTGCAGGATCCTCAATTATCTTCGAGTTTTCCTGGAGGTCTTAGTGTTGTGATCTATAATTTTCGGTAAAAACAATACACACTGCTTGGGTCAGTTGCTGAATCAATTTCTTATAGTAGCCTTTCTTCAGCCAGCTTGGTTTTTGCATGTCTATGATCATTTAGTTGTTGCAGAGTGGTTGTAGTGATGAGACATCAGCAAAGGGTTGTTACAGTCTTAAGTTCATTGCTTATCTGCACTCTCAGCAATGGAGCTAGGATGATAACAAACTGAACCAGCCATTGTCTACAACGATCGATTAAACGATGAACACGAACCCTCTATTTATGTTTCTTAGAGTGGATACTCGATAGGTACCTATCAAAGTTGTCGAAACTGCCAAGAGTTCTAGTAAAAGTTGTATTCCTATTCATTGCTACCAGAAAAAATAATAAGAGATTCACATTGCTCTTAGACAGAACCATCATCCTTTGGTAAAAAGGGTCTGTCACAGTTTAATACAAGGATGAAAATATTGCTGCCAAACTGAAGAATATGAAAGCATAAACAGGGCAGAAGATCATACATTTGTGGAAGCTGAGGCAGAGGCAGATCTATGATTTATATAGGAATAGGAATAGGATTTCCACTGTGATGACAGAAACAGAATGGATCAGATCAAGCAAGGAATCCTAATCTTTCTCCATTCTTCTTGGCTAACCTAATCAACCCCTGCCTTTGCTTTGCATCAGCTCCTATAGATTTGCAGAACTCAGTAATTATCTGTCCAAAAGGAAAAAATTCAACACAAGTTTATCTCTAAACCTGTATCAGAAGATCAGTATGTGAATTGTAATGTATGGATAAGAGAATTCAAGTGATTACCTGTGAGTGCAGGGCAATGGCCTTGCCTCTCAACTGATTGAAACGTTTCTTTCCAATAATATTTCTAGCAAGAACTACCACAGGCGCAAACAGACCCTTCCCTTCATTAACATTCTTCATCATTGGCCGGAATCTCACCGGCTTTGTGACTCGAACCTGTGCCGGGACCGACTTGATCAGCATGGCGCTGTCGTCGCCACAGATCGAAGTCCCCCAGCCTCCATGGAAGGAGGAGGAAAGAGGTGGTTTATGAAGAAGCCCAGTTGCTGAAATTGAAGTTGCCATGAAAGGGTGTGGAAGATCAGAGAGCAGTGTTTACCAGCAATGCTGGAACTTGTAATGGAAGCATTGATGATGGATTTGGTATGGTATGTGAAAAAGGTGGATATTTTTGAGGTAGTATGGGAGAGATTGGATGGAGATGAGAGAGAGAGAGTGGAGGAGTAATTTTTTGAGCCACACAAATTGGTGGCTTGGGTTTTGGTTTAAAGTGACTTCTGGTCCCTATTGTTTTGGAAAATTATCAGAATCCAGACTTCAATTGGCTCTTTTTCCTGATTGCTTCCATCTGTCTACTTACCAATTGATTTCATCACAGGCGGCATTTTCCTAGCCGCTTAGTAAACCTTATTTCCGAGAAAGTATTTAATAGCATAGAACCATCCAGATAAAATCTATAGTTTAAATTAGATTCAAAATAGTTCAACTGGTTGGAAGACATTCTTTATAAGTCGTAAGTTTAAATCTCTACTTTATTTTTTTAGTACTACAATTTAGGGACATGGGAGATCGAATCTCCAACCCCGAAGGAATGAGTACATGTCAATTACTGTTAAGCTATGCTCATATCGACTTGAATTTTCGTATTTTGAAAAGAAAAAAGGTTTAACACATGTTGGTGATTCGACCTCCAGCCTGCAATTGTTGAACTTATGAACTCTCCAATCTCATAGATGCATTTTCACGTACCAAACCACTTTAAAAGTTTAACATGGGTAGCTTTCGTATTAAACATGCTTTTACTCTGTCAAAAATGACATTCTCATTGATTTTCTTATAAAGTAAACTTCAGTTTTCAAGAATTTTGCTCTATTAAATAGCAAACCCATCTTCCTATCTCATGTAGGGGAATTCTAGGTAACCAATTGAGACAGAAAATAACATTTTTCTTAACAAAGTTGAAGATTTACAACTATTCTCTCCTTATTTTTTTTTCGATCTTATCACCGATTTGATCAATGGAATTGTTGTGAAAAATCTCAATCAAATTAGCTAATGAGCAAAGTCTTATATGTGTGATTCTTGATAAAAGAAAGACACTCAAACATTTTTTCCCTCTTTTAAGGCAATCTATTTTTCATAGGAACATTTTTTTAGTTCAAACAGATGTGGGGATTTGAATCTCTGACCTTCTGGTCGAAAATATATATCTTAACTAATTGAGCTATATAAAAACTCAACAAAATAAACTACGATGAGGATGAATAAAAATCTCAAACACAAGGTTCTCTATGAAAATTATCAAAGGCAAACATTATATATAGGAAGTGTAAAAGTTGAAACTTTTTCGTTTCAATAGATACTAAACTCTAAGACTTCATGCAAATACCAAGAATTCTTCTTCTACCACCTATCATTTTTGTCTCTAGACACACCATATGTTATTTCTAAAGTTTTTCTATTGATGTCAAATCACTTCATTTTAGTCTGGTGTATCCAATTGAAGAAGAAAACTTGGGGAACTTCAACCATCTTCGACGAAACCGTGCAAATCCAGGGATTTTAATTCGAAATCGGAATCTCTTGATCTTCTTGCTCAAATTACGACATTTCTGTTTGAGGTGTTTAGTTTTGGCTACCAGTTTCTTCATATATATAATGCCTGCATCTGCACGGAATTAAGCTATGAGAGATAAATTGTTGGTTTGATCACCAAACTTAAAACTCACTCAACATTAGAGTTAGAGTAAAATTCGGTCGGAGTTGATTAGAATAGAGATTCGACTCCAACACGAAGGTAGCTACATTAGACTATGCACACCTTCCGATCGATCGACATCAATTTGGCCCGTTTTTTGTTTTTCATTTTCACCCACACTCAGGGTATTAAGAGATCTCTCTGCATGTTATAATGGTTGGTTTTACATTGTTTGTTTCTCACCCAGCAACTCAAGATCAAGTTGAAACTCATCCAGATGCAAAAAACGAGAGAGAAAATTATGAGAAGGCAATGGTAATTCACATTATTATTATATTTGTTAAGAGCATACCTTGACCCTTGTTGAGTAGGACATTATCTGAACCTTTCTGATATAGGATCTACAAGTTTGGGAAAACAAAATTAATCAAATAGCATAGTGACATTTGTTATGGGAAACAACATTTATTTTTTAATTTTAGAGAAATCTCTTCTTCCAAATATCACTGATAAATTGCCTTTTGATTTTACAAATATTTGTATACTTAAAACTTACCTCAACAAGCCCTTCTAACCGCTTTCTCATCCTTCTCTGGATAAAACCTCTGGTTGTCTGTGAGGAAAGTTCACCAAAGACACGCTTAAAGTTATTCCCAGAAGAATAGGGGAAACATTTGTCCACAACAGATACAGAGGTTTTGGATAAAAAGAATAAACAAACATGATACCTTTACATGGTACTTCACATATGCATTAAAGTTCAGCAAACTCCATACAGTTTTGTCAAGTCTTTTACCTTCAACGTGACGCAGAGAAATATCTGTCGATGCATTATGTGAACAGAGTTTGAGAGTATTAAAAAATTTCTAACTTACTAATACAAATCCAACAAGTTGAATAAATTCCGTTTCCGTTGTTACTATGAGAAATCTGTTTAATACAGCTGGTGTTGGATTCCATTCTTTTACTTTGTATGTAACGCATACATAAACATATACATGAAAGAATACTCTCAAGAAATTAACGTTTTTCTAGACTACATTTGCTGAAATGGATATCTTACCGAAGGTGACAAATCCTCCATTGGTGCTCAGTTCTTCCAAAGGTTCGCCTCTCAGTTCTGGCGGGGGTATGGGTGACCAACAGCAGGGAGGTGCTTTTGCCCATTTTTCGGAGCTTCCCACATCCATAAGTTCCTATTTTGACTACAATAGTTGCATTATCCAAATAAATTCATATAGTTTTTTAAAAAATAAGAACAGATCCTTGCATTGCTATTTAAGCAACATACCCGGAAAAAGGCTGTTGCAATGATCACATCTGTACTTTCCTTGAAACGGATTGGGAAAATTACGAGAATCTTCTGGGCCTGTATGCAAGATTTTCGTCTATTTAGAGATGTCAAAATGCACAGAAGAGTCAAGAGTAGAACTTAAATGTCAGAAGTCTCGCTCCTCAAAATTTGGAACAACCCAACCAAATTTCTCAGTTCTTATCTGTCACTCAACATTCATCTGTTTATATAGGAAGGGGTTTATAATGAATTGGCACATTAGAGCGAGACAAAATAAACCCACTGGAAACCTTAGTTAATATAAACTCAACTTTAGAGTTCTGATTATGAAATAAAATAATATACATTCTCAACTTGCCTGCTTGATAACAAAGAATGGTTCCCTTGGATGATATACAAGTTTGATGGGTCTGCATGTTTCATGGAATAGAGCCTGTGAATTAACATTTCTCAACATTTCTTTCAGCTGAGAACTTAGAATCACTGCTTGGACAGCAGCAATCTCTGTAATTATCTTTTCCGACTCTGCAAAAAGAACATCCACATCAGTTGAAGTTATAAAGAAAAGCCCATATTTCAATCTTATACTATAATCATCAAGATTCTTGCTCAACAACAGGATGAGTATGGGCCTAAACTCAACCTTCTACAGAATGTCAAGTAGCAAAATGATTTGTTTTCTGAAACTATGCAGTATCAACACCTCTCATTCTTTTCGTCAATTAATTTTCAATTAATGAAGCTGTTCAAGTGTGAAAACTAAAAGTGGATAATCATACCTTTCCCATGCAAAATTTGTGCAAAATCGATTTTTAGAGTAAGTTGGTATCCTTCTCTTGCAGGTTCAACGATCTCAACAACATGAGAGCAAATTTGTTTTACCATCTCGACAGTGTGCGATGAGAGCCCATCAGACAACAGAGCTCCTTGTGACAACAATGGGGTTGAAATCGACAGGTAAATATTCTGTGGATCCGATACTGAGAACTGCCAAACAACAGAAAGCCATCAAGACATTATTTCAAATGTTAAACGTGCACAATCCCAGATGAATGAGATTTATTCTACCTGGATAAGGTATTGAACAGAACCAAATTCATGCAAGTGATGCTCAATTTCTGTGGGCTTTTCCAAACTGTGCTCATAACCGAAAAAAAGAAACCTTCAAAATAGCTATTTTCCAGCACAATCATATGCAAATTTAATATCTAAAATTCTCTCCAAGTTTTAATCAAACACAAAATTATCTGTTAAAATATTCAAACACATGAAATAGATTCTCACCTGCACAGTTTGAGGAGGATTTCCTTCAAAGCTGGTGAAGCTCTCTGAAAGAATGCCATCCTCACAAATCCAAACACCCTCTCTGCCACTCTCTTTCATACTAAATGAGAAGAAAGAACTCCATACATATGTTGCGCCCTTCTTTTTGCTTGAGATTATGACACTATGAGTAAATTCTAAGCTCCATCTCCACTCAAAGTTTGGTAACAATTGAAGCAACCGACCCATTACCATCTCCCTCTCTATCTTTCAATTTGTCAATGACTTTTCTATAAAGCAATTTTAGGACTTACCCACTTGATGTTCTCTGCTTCCTTATGCACCCTTTGTTTGGTGGCGCTGATTGAAGTTGATTTGGCGCTCATTTTCGAGCCTCGTCTCGACTTTATCTCGGTCTTGCTTCCATTTTGTGCCATCGTTTGGACATGCGTAAGTCTGCAACTTCCATCACAGCAAAAATCTTTTAATCTCCTTCTCGATCTCAGCCTGAATAGAAGGAGGAAGCAATAATTGATTTCTTCCACGAGAAATGGGTCGGTGCTTTGCCCTCCATTTTTCACCTGTGCTTCTCGCTGGGTTCAAGCAAATCCCACTTCAGATCAGTTTAGCCGTTTAGGTTTACCCAGAAAGCAAGCAATTGTTTTTATTTTTAGTTGTCTTTTTTCTCAAATTTCCAAAATTTTCTTCTAAAAACATCAGTTAATTGAGGGGTGGGTGGGTTTGCCTTGCAGAACTCGGAAGCTGGCTATGAAGTACTAAAATTTGATTCAATGAATGTTTTTTTTTTTTTGTTTTTTTTTGGGTTTGCTTTCAATATGCATTTGTTTGGCTTTGATTTTATCTAATTTTTCATTCTTCAGTGGTTTAAAATTTAAATGGTACATGAATTATTTGGTTAAAAAATAATTTATAGGATTCATGAGTGATATTTGTGTACATGTTAGAGGAGATGGCCTTCTCCTATTAGACTCTATAAAAAGAATATTTTTCATCCCACCTTTTGATTTGAGGAATAGCCAAATTGAATTGGAAGAGTTGATAGTGTATTTAGTCCTTTTTTTTTCCCTTTAAATTCARTCGAGATGATGAATCATAGACTTTTGAGATAATAATAGGTATTTTATTTGTCAAACTTGTATTTGCTTATATTTAATTTATTTTAATGCACAATTAATTGAAATTTTCACACACACAATTAAAGTATAAATTGAATTTGAATTTGGAACGTATTTGTGCCATCTTAATTGAAGATAGTTATTTTGTCATTAAAAATAACTTTGTTTAAGCATAATTTCATATATATATATAAAATAAAACTTTTGAATTTTTTTATTATAACTTTTTTTTAACTAGTCCCTACAATTTTAGAGTGTTACAATTAGATGTATTACTTTCAAATTTTTATTATAATCAGGTCCTATAAAATGTATGTGCAAATTACTAGTTTGGTTCTTGAATTTTAAAATGATGTCTAAATAGATTATTAAAATTTAAAAAGTTTTTAAAAAGACATGGACTTTTAATTTTTATCAATAGATCACTAATGTTAAAAAGGTATCCAATAAAATTTCTAAACTTTTAATTCGTGATAGGTTCTTGAACTCTAAAAATTATTAAATAAATAAAAAATTTATTATATACAAAATATCAAAATTCAAAAACTTATTAATTGATAGAAAGTTGGAAGTTTCAATATCTATCAAATAAATTTATACATATTAGATATAATCATAAACGTTTAAGAATCGAACTTATAATTTATCCAACAAGCATATCGTTGGTAGGAACTTCATTTGTTTTATTTACTCAGTTTTATGGATAAGTTATTTTCTTTTAGACCTTTTAGTTTTAAATTTTTGAAATTTAATCTTATAAACATTATTCCAATTTATATAGTTATTTTTGTTATCTCAAGAAGTTTTCAAAATTTAAGCTAACTATTAATAACTAAAAAAAAGTAATTTAAAAAAAATTGCTTATATTCTTTTGGATGTGGTAAAGAATTCAAATATATTTTAAGGAAATGCGAAACCATGCCAAAAAAAAAAGAAAAATTACGAATAAATAAACATAATTTTAGAAAATTGATAAGTAAAAATAAAATTGTTATTAAATGACACATTAATTATTACGTTGTCTTAAAGTATGCACCTTTATTAATAAAGCTTTTTTCTTTTCTTTATTGAAAAATTGAATGTTGATGTAATAATGTGTGACTCTTATTGATGCCATCTACGATAAGGTGAGGTTATCTAATTTTTTTTTTAACCATATTTGATTCTACCTTTAAAAAGGAAAGAAAAAGGGGGAGAAACTAAGCTATTATCTACATAATTAATTCATATATTTTATCGTCAATGTTATGGGAAAAGTTATTTTTTATGCCAACTTTTGTCCCATCAAATAAGATTTGATTTTTAAATAGTCTAACATAAATTTATTTTCACCTTAAAAAATCTAGGTTCATGATGCAATTAATTTATTTTTAGTCAACAAAAGTAGTTTTTAAAGAGAGTTGTTTTTAATGTCCCCTGTTTTGTTAGGAAAAAAAAAAACAAACAAAAGTAGGATCAAGCAGAACATTCAAACTCAAGGAAAAGGAAAATAATTTATTATCTTATCCACTAAACTATCTTCGAATTGGTTAATACAATTTATTTTTTCTTTGAAGACATATATCTAACATTAAATTCCATATAGATAGACTCTTGTCAAAAAAAAAATATATATATATATATAGATAGAATTATCTATCTCTATAAGATACATAATAAATTTGTTTATTTGTTTACTATATTTGAAAAATTCTTCATATAAAGTCAATTGGATGACTTTGGTATTATCTCACCTACTATACATATAAAAAAAATGTCATTAGCAACCAAGAAAGGCAAAAGTGGTTAACATTAGAATTAATTACAAATATTTTCCATAGACAAACTCCATGAAATGACATAGTCATCCTCCAACAAGCTCATATATGATATATTTATTATGGCCGTTAAGATAGGGAAATTATGAAAATGTTAATTGACATTAATGGGATTGATTAAAATATGATAATTGATTTCAAGAGTAGTAAATTTATGACCCAAAATTACTGCATATTGACGACATCAATTAATGTTTTTTTTTTTTGAAATATACATCAATTAATGTTAAAATAATATATTAAGGATGATAGGATCTGATTACCGACAGTTCGGGAGCAACGAATTTAACGAACACCCGCCACTGGGACCCACAGATGACTCATCTGTTCGGGAATCAATCCAATCCCAACCGTCGGATCCCACACCATTATTCGATATCACTATTGACCAATCACAGTAAAGTAAACGCATTCTTCTTCTTCTTCTTCTCCTCTCTCTCTCTTGCTTTCTCGCTCTTCTCTGATCTGGACAACGCTCCACTACATCGCATTTCACAATTTTGTGTTTTCTCGTAAATTTGGTTCCTTTACGCGTCGCTTATTTATTTCATATTTCTTTTTGCGGGGGAGGAGATTTTAATTTTCTGTCACTTTCTCGGGAATCCATCTAATCCCTTTTCTTTGGTTAAAATTTTAGATCGGGGTTTTACTTTTTCTTGGTGGGGTTTTTCGAAGGGTATTATTGGGGTTAAGACTTAAGAGTTAAGCCTCTAGTTGCTCCGTTTTTTTCTTTTAATTTTAACTTAGAACACCCGTGAGCGTTGACCCATTTGTAGAATCTGAGTTTCGAGTGGTGGGATTTGTGAGAAATTTTTTGTGGAGTTCAGATGAAGTGGATTTCTGAGATGATTCGCATCGGAAATCCAAAATCTGGGTCCTATTTTTGGCGTAGCTGTTAGTAGGGCAACTTTTCGATTGGATTTACGGTAGTGAGAGATTCGATTATGGATGGCGATTCTAAGGACGTTAATGGCTGCCAAGAGAAGCCCGTGGATTCTGTCGCCGCCGGAGAAGTTGGGGATCACAGTAATGGAGAAGATTACAGCGAATCGAATGCCCTATTGCCGCCGCGCCGCGGTGGAATGTCGCGGAAATCGGACAAGCCGAGGATGAAAGTCCGGTGGAACGATAGTAATGGCAATAACCTAGCGGAGATTTTGGAGTTTCAACCGAGGTAGATTGGTTTTTCTCTGGTTTTCTGGTCTGTTTTATGTTATTTGGGGAAGATGAGCTTTCTGTTCTTGGTCTCATTTTTACAATCTGCTGCCTGTTTTCTCTTTACTCTTCAGCATTAGATCTAAAATGGGACATTGATCAGTTGCTGTTAATAGTTGAGATGTTGAAGAAGCTAAAATCTTCCTCACCACTGAATTTGAAACTTCAGTCCAACTCATTTTACTGTTCTTTTAGAAAGTCTGCTGTAATGCTGTCATATTAGTAGAACTGGTCTGTTCATCTGGTTTTTCTAGTACATCTAGATTGGTTTGTTAGCACAACGATCCTTCCTTATCTCATGCCTTATATCGACTGATACGCAAAAGTTAACAGATTCTTTTAAACTAGATGAATTCTGATTTTGGATGTGATGATGTTGTTGGGGACTGCAGATTTGTGTTTTTTGAACCCGTCTCTCTGTCTGTTTCTGCAGCGATGTGAGCGACTCCGGGGACGAGGAGGCCGATTCTTGCAGCTGTATAATTATGTAGATTATTACATCAAATATATTAGTGCATAATGACAAGAACCATGTGGTTGCTTTAAGACTAAACTGATAGTGTCATTAATTCTACTTTCTCTTGGTGGTGTTTCTGACTGTATACCGGATTGCTTTGATGCTACAACGACCTACAGAGAAGTTCAAAGATCGGTTGATTACTATGCCATCATCTCATTGTCCCTTGTGCCGCTGATGTGTCCCGGTGACACCTTGTACTGTTTCGGTCTTCAAATTTGAAAGATCTCCTTGCAGGTGATATTCCATGGATGATGCTGATAATGGTATCAAAGATTCAGATTAGTTGAGCTTTTGACAGTACAGAATGATACTATGTGTAGTGCAAAAAACACTTGGAAATTTTTTTTTTCTATACTTATTGTGGTTAATGAATCATAGAGCTTCTGTATCATTTCCCTCTGTTGTTTATAGCTACTGATCTCGAGATTTCGTGAACTTCTCATCGAATGTTTTTCTTTATCCCGATTTAGCAGTGTTGTAATACATCCTGAAACTCGAGGGCCTCATTTTCATGTTTTTGCAACTTTCCATGATTAAAGTGTCATCAGCTGGGAAAAGAAACAGGTGTATGTTCTTTTAAGTGAAAAGTTGCATTATTATTGAGCACATATCTACTCTACATTATTGATCAACAGACTCACAATTAGACTTCAATTTGAGCTGAGAAATTTTCGATGATCGATCTCTAAACTTTAAAAAGTAACAATTACATCCTTAACTTTAAATTATGATCTTATGAAATATATTGTGATTAAGAAAATCGACTAAATGATAATGTGACATACATATTTGACAAACATTAACTAATTTGGCACGCGGCTTATGATAAATGGAACAAAATAAAATGACATTTTTAAACCCAACATGTCTAAAATCATATTGCTTCATTTTATCCTTTTATAGATGGTCACTGTTTATGATGTACTGGATGAGTTGAGTAATTTTGACATTAATATAAAAAGGCTGTAATGTAACAGAGCCTACAAAGAAAAAACATGAGACAGAGTCAGAAACAGAG